TAAGTTCATTTGGTCTCTCCTGTTGTGTACATGTTTAGATTTATCTTTGTTCATCTTTCTGGGATGCTAGTTTAGCTTATTCTCTAGTAATTAAAATAGTAAACCCAAATGGAGTGCATTTTACCTTTAGTGATTTTTGTATTTGTGGTCAGGATTTATAGGTGTTATTTGTGGAGTCTTGTTTATGTTTTGGGATTTTTGTGGATCTTGATACTTTTCCCACTTTGAAGCTTTTTTTTATATTGCTTGTTTCTTTTTTTAGGGTACTGATAGGTATTTATTCTGTTTACATTATGTTTATGGTTATAATTTTGTTTTTTTTCAATCCTCACCTGAGGACATTTTTTTTCATTCTTTGTTCAGATAGAGTGGGAGGGAGAGAGAGGAAGAGAGAGAGAGCGAGAAACACCAATGTAAAAGGGACATATCGAGTGGCTGCCACCCGCACGACCAGCCAGGGCCGGGGACAAACTGCATCCGAGGTACGTGCCCTTAATGGGAACCGAACCCGGGTCTCTCTGGACCACAGGCTCTAACCACTGAGCCAAACCGGCCAGGGCTATGGTTATAATTTTTTAAAGAAATGATCTAACTGATGCTTCAAATGTCAGGTATGAGTCAGCATCTTTAACTGTGATCGTTAGGATTGACTCCTTCCTGAGAAGGTGATTTAAAGGGTTCACCACCCCGCCCACACCCATCACTTTGCGATGCAAGGGCTTGGACTACTGCGGATGTCAGAGCTGTGGCTGAATATTGAGGTGTCAGCTGCAGTCACTTGGTGTTGGCTTGGTCACTGGACTGTCGCAGTGGGAATTTACGCGCGGCTTAGTCACCTTCCCATGAGCACGGTGTGCTGTCATACTCACCCACCACAGTGTTCCTGGTCTCTCGGAACTTCTGCTGTTGAAGGAGAATTCATAGGGATCTCTTCTTCCAGAGTTTGGCTCAAGCGTGATCCATTAAGAATAACTTTTAAAATACCATAAAACATCTATTCAGTGCCTAACAGGACGTTAGGAAACAGTCTTTTCATGTTTCAGCCCTGTGTTTATTGCTCTCGTCTTATCTGGTGGGATTGTCACGTATGTCAAATGGTGCTCCTCGTTATGGTGGAAAATGAAACAAAGGTGTTATTTTTTTCCCATTACCTTATGTCCTAAAATAGCCAAACTATATACTCAGGGCTCCAGAAGGACAGAGAGTTGCTTTTTTCTAACTTGTTTGAAAAGGACAGTGTGGTCAGGCTAGACCCAGCGGGGAATGTCGTGGTCCCGGCGTCCTCAGCCGTGCAGAGGTGAAGTTCCGTCTGGAGCCGACGTGTTAGAACAAGTGCGTGGTACGGTTAAGTTGGAGGTGTATTTTTATTTGTGCTGCCTTAAATATTCCCTTTTTAAGGTTATGATAGCTGCTTAGTGACTAAATGGTTGTTTTCTTTATCCATGATACATTTCTTCTTTAATTTTAAAGCATTTGATACTTCTTGTCTTAATCAAAACTTATAATTACACACGGAAAACTCTGCATATTAATATAATAGCCAAAATGTGTGGTCCTAGTTTGCTGTTCACCCATCTGATTTGTGCAACTAGCCTTAAAGTCTGTCATTTGAAATTGTATGTATATATCCTTGTGAACTGAAATTGGGCAGCTAATTAATATTTTCTGATACTTTGTGTGTATATACATGGAATATTTTTCTATCATGGTTTCTCAAAATATGTATTTAAAAACAAATATTAACAATAAATGAAAACATTTAAAGTTGCACTTATTTTTCCAACTGCCATACTAAATGTTTTCGTCAAAATACTTGTCGTGACTTTTCCCCACTCATCCTTTCTGAGCAGAAAAGGACCTGAAGAATCTTAGGAAACATTTGACCAAGCTCTGCCCAACCTGCACGTCCTGTTAGCTCTAAAGCTAACGTCCAACTTCAACAAACTTAAACACTAAAAATAGAACCGAATGACTAAGCAAGTCAGCAATTTTGGCCGCATTTTATTCTGTTTTCAAAGTGGGTTAATTGTATTCCAAACTCGGGAAAACGAAAAGCAGCGACTCATTCAACTTTTCACAGATACTTCCCTGGCTGAGCGTGCAGTGGAAGCCCATTGGAGCCCTCGTGGTATCATCTGAATAACAAGGCTAACTGCCACATTGGGATGATTCTTCTCGTGCGTGCTAGGACTTAGAATGGCAGTATCCCCATATCTCGAAACATCTTCATTGGATTTAGCTTTTTGTCTCATGGGCCATTCTTCACAGTTATAATAAACATAATAAAACCACTTAAAAAACTTAAAATTGTGAAAAATTTGACCTGCCGCACTACACTTCCTGTTAATGAATTTTACATACTCCGCATTTTACGCTTCTGTGGACGGCCGTTCTCCAGTCCGTGGGACATTTCAGAGTCCGCAGTGTCCCTCTCCCGGCAATGTCACTCACCAGCTCGGGTGGCGTCCGTTTCCCGACAGAGGTGGCCCCGAGGAGGCGCCGCGCTGGGAAAGCGGCGGGCACAGCAGGGGAACCAGCACTGCGCAAGGAGAGAGCTCGGAGCTGATGCCCCCCTGCGAGGAGCCCCCTGCGCGGAGCCCCCTGCGAGGAGGTGAGGCAGCCTGTTCACACATCAGAGTTCCCCACGACAGCGGAGGCCCCGGCTTTCACAATCCTCGGGTGGGCGAATGAAGACCTGTTTTGTGCGATGCCTGCCTGAAGTTTGAGGCATGCGGAGGTGGTGAAAGGACCATTTGATTTCATGATCCCGACACCCCTGGCATTGCCCCTGTGTTGTCAACGTCCCGGCTGTCTGTTTTAAGGGAAGCGACGGGCAAAGATCTTTCCTGTACCCAGATTAAGGCACCTGCGGCATCGCCCCCAGGCCGCGGGCTCTGTTGGGCCACCGATGAAAACATGTCTGGTTTCGTCGGACTGCATGTCGTCACTGGGCACTCTGCCCGTTTGTGTGAGCGTGAGTGTGTTTGAGAGTGTGTGTGACAGTGGGACGTGGGAGCCACTAAGATGTCTGTCTCTGGAGAGGAGTCCAGTGTGAGGTGCACACAGTGACAGTGAGCAGTTGGAAGCCTTGCACTAGAAGGACAGGTGGTGCCACAGTATCTTGTAGACATGATGTCCATTGTAAAGAGGTAAGAAAGAGAATAAGAACCATAGCATAATGCTCCCTATATAAATAAAATCACACCCAACACGACGCTGTTCAACATAACACAAGGACGTACACATGGCCAAAGATGTTCCTGAGAGTCTCCTGGGGCATGAGGGAATGAATGTGAGAGGGGCAGAGAGGGAAATGTAATAAATCAAAACAAGCACCTTAAGTGGGATGAATGAAGGATACACCACTTTCCCCTTATTTATGAGACCCAGTTCTATCTGCCTTTTGTCTGACATCAGTTGTTTCATATACTTTGTCCAGTAGTTGTATCATGGGCAGGTAAGTTAGTCCAGAGTCCGTTATTTATCATAACTAGAGAAAGAAATGCTTTTTATTTTTCAAAAATAATTTTAATAAGTTTGAGTTTTTATTTTCTTCTCTTTCTGTTGCAGTGTTTTAGTTTTACCATTTTTACATGTGGCTTATACATGACCGACAAGGGTTGTCGCCACAGAGAAGGGTAAATACTTTTTTCAAATAATTTATAACTTATTTGTCATTTTCTACAACCTGAATATTATGTGACCCACAAAATTCACGTGTTAAATCCTAACCCCCAAAGTTTGTAGGCAGAGGTGGGGTCTTTGGGAGGTAAGTAGGTCATGAAGGTAGAATCCTCATGAGTGAGAGTATTGCCCTTATAAAAGAGGTTCCAGAGAAATCTTTTGTTCCTTTTCACCATTTGAGAATAAAGACGTCTGTGACCCTGATGAGGGCACTCACCCAACCATGTTGACACCCTCACCCAGGACTTCTAGCCTCCGGAACTGGGAAAAATACACTTTTATTATTTACTTTTAAAAGAGAAAGAGAGAGAGAGAGAAGCACCTTGAAAAAATGAGTGAAGAGGCATGACACTGGGCGTCAAAAGAGAAAAGGGCATATGTGATGGAGGCATTTTTGAAAATCCCAAAAAACTAAATGCAGTGAACAGCTCACAATCATCACTGGGGTTTACATTTATTATGATCATTGGCAAACCAAGAATCCAGAAATAACACATGCTATCTGTGGTAAAATGCATGCATATCATAAGGTCTGTTGATTTGAGCCTCAACCCAAAGAGACATCAGGCGTGCTGGATGCAGAGGGCCGGGGCCTTGTACTGTGATGAGAACAGAGCATGGAGGGTTCCACCCACAGGGTCTCCCAACACAAAAACACGCCCAATGGTAAAAGCCAGTGTAATTCTTCACTGTTTAATGCATTACATGTTATATAGTTATGGAGCAGGAATCCAGGGTTGACATTTGTATTCTCGCTCAACAGTTACATTTATTACTCCTGATCAATCAAAAACATGTGTTCTAGCAAATTACTTTCTACCCATTCAAATAATAAGAGGTAAAGTCCAACCTAAACATATTAGCAGGGATACTCCTAATACAGAGTGACTGGCAGAAAATTTGACTAGAAAGAGATACTTTAGCCTGGCCGGTGTGGCTCAGCGGTTGAGCATTTACCCCACTGAGAGGGCACATGCCCAGGTTGTGGGCCTGATCCCCAGTGGGGACCATGCAGGAGGAGGCCAATCAACATTCTCTCTCATCGATGTTTCTATTTCTCTCTCCCTCTCCCTTCCTCTCTCTAAAAATAAAAAATAAAAATAAAAAAATCAATAAAGAAAAAAAAAATGAGAGAGTTTACTTTTACACAGGATGTAGGAACTGTGGTTTCACATGGAGGGAAACAGAATCAGCTTTCTGCTTTTCCCTTACTCTTTCCAAACTGGAAATCAGACCCCGTGTGTGTATTTGTATATTTATGTTTAATATACCAGAAACATATACACAGGAAACCCCACTGTACTGGGTAACTAGTGCTAAGGGCCTGTTTTGGCCCTTACTGCTCTCAGCACAGAATTCCATTTGCTGTGCCTTTGTTCTAACTGCTCTTTTTTATACCTGTCTTGAAAAGAACAATGGTTATCTTCATCTTCTGTCTCCGAGATGATTTCCATCTTCTGAATGATGAGTTTAATGAGCTCGTGCTGTTTTTCCAGAAGAGAAGTCACGTCCTTCAGCCTAAAGGGACAGACACGTTCTGTGAATTTCGTTTAGCCCTCTGAGTCCACAAAGGCCTCGTACTGGAAGTGTTGGGTATCAGATTACCTGTGCTCAGGTTACAGCTGCATGCAGGCAGAATGCTTCTAAGGAATACAGATTTTCAAGGTTTTAAGTGGTTTTCCTAAGGTTACAATGTTGGCTCGTGGCTGGTTTATAGCTGTTCCCATTTTAAAGATTAAAACACTGTTGCACAGAAAGGTTAAGTAGCTTGAACTCAAGTAAATGAACCCTAAAACCCTCACACTGAACCACTGTACATTAGGCAGCTTCTCCAGGGATTCTCGGAATCTGGCAGAGCTTGGAGGTTTGAATTGAAATGGCTCGTGAGGAATGCAGCTTCAGATACTGGCTGGCGAGGAGCCGCATATACGTGGTTGGGTCTAGAAACTCTCACGATTCCCAATCTACTAGCAGCATCAGTGAGTTACAGTATGCCTTAATGCCTGAGACAAACACAAATATACGCGGTGACCTTATACCGTGCATCAGTATCTAAGACTTTTCAGTTTCTCAAATACAGAGAAAAGGAAAAATACATACCGGTATTTCTGCTTCAGCATTTCGACTTCTAACGCTGTGTCAGCATTTGGCATTTCTTGTCTTACTTCGTGGGTGCAAACGACGTAACAGAGCTTGCACTATGGGATAAATGACTAAGAGTTACTCAAGTTAAACTCAACTCAGGAACTAGTTCTTGCAAATGGGCCCTAATTCAGCTGCTGAACCGGGGCACATATCGAATGAGCGCCGTGCCCCCAAGGAGTCCGCAGTCTATGAGAGAAACGGGCGTGCAGGGCTATGAGAGAAACACGACACGATCACGCACATTATCACAGAGGAAGGTGCAAGATGGATGCAACACAGAAGGAGGAAACTGCAGTGGAGGTTTATTTAGGAAAAGGTTTAAATGAATCATTTTCACAAGGAAATTCTCATGAAAAACATCCATCACAGGTGGTGGTATTTCATACAGGATTAGTTATTTCTCTCACCTGCTCTGCACCTTCATGCAACACAACTGAATTTCACACGGGGACATTTCTGAAATGCTATTTTAATTTATTTTTTAAGGTTGGATGTGAAATGACCAAGAATGAGGTAATTCCAGGAGTGCGGGCGAGAGGAGGCCAGCCAGGAGGTCAGGGGGCCTAACCCTGGGATTGGCTGGATGTGAGGGGACGGGAAAAGGGAGGGCAATGTCAAGGCTGACACCCCGCACAGGCAAATGAATGCTCTGGACAGTAATTGACATAAGGGACTTTGAAGGATGGGTTTTGTCACCCTTTCCCTGTACAGGATGTCGGGGGGGGGGAGTGACACAAGGGAGGAGTAAACGTCATGAGCTGGTTTTGCATGAGTTTGCTTGGAACATGCTGAATTTGAGGGACTTTGCGGCACACCAGAGAAGTCCACAGTCGGATACAGGGGCCGGGAATGCAAGGAGAGCTGCAGGCCAGAGAAATCAATTGCTGAGCTCTGTGTTAGGCAGTGAATGCAACCATGGACATGAGGGAAAGGGAGATAGTGTAGTCAGAATAAAGCCTAGACTGACACTTCGGTTGCCTTTATCCTTTTGTAACTACACCATGGAAAATGCACCTACAAAGAACTCAGGATATTCATGGAGATACAAGGGAGCCCAGGGACGGTGAGAATTAGCATCCAGTACTTCTGACGCTAGTATAGTCCCTTTTCCACTATCATGCAATGGCCTGGCTTAATCTTTGTGGATTTTCTATATGTACACTCTGTGTGTATCTGTGATAGTCACAGATTATACATGCGTGTTCTACATATACACACAGACACACACATGCTTCTACACACATGTAAGTGACATGTGACTAGGAAAACAAAGCATACCTGCACTGTGAAAAGGGTACTTAAATGGTACAGCTTGCCCACCCACTCAGTGAGAACACTGGGACGTGGCACTTGTTCAACCCGGAGCTGTGGCTGAGCCACTTGGAAATGAGACAGATGTCTCCCTCTGCACTGCCCATCACTTTTTTATCCTGGCTTCATCCTGCACGTTTTTTTGTTTTTGTTTTTGTTTTTTTTAAGCACAGTTATTTGTTTCCCACAGACAGGGTGACTAAACACGTGTAAAAGGCCACCCTTAGGTATACACGTGAATGACCATCACAGTGTCACTCTGTTGACATCAATGTTTGTTACATGTACTTACTAATAACCCTTGACTGAATCTGGGTCTGTTGGGATACACGATGATGGATTTCTGATCCACTTTGTGTAGGAACCAGAGTGGCAGCTTCTTCTCTAGGTTGGTGTGAAGTTCCACCTAAAACACATTTTGGATTTATTGCTAGGAATCATTCATTAGCATCTGGAATTCTCAAAGGGCACAGACGCTATTGTTAGTGCAGCCAACTGAAAACAGACTCTTGTGCATGAGTGACACACAGGCTGCTGGGCTGGCCAGGTGTCCTCGGCCCCTGCCAGCAGTCACCTGCCCCTACCTTTCCCCTCGACCCTGACAAGACAGGGGCTAGCTACCTGGTTGGCCACATGTTGACCTAAAAAGAGGCACAGGCATTTTCTCAATTTCTCTGCTGAGATGGTTATAGGAATCTTTTTCATTTTTGATTCTCTGACTACTGCAAGTGCACCAGAGAACCTGCCGCCCATGTTCAATGGCTTGTTCTCAGGGCTCAGCCAGGCTGCCGTGTGAACAGCAGGATGGTGCTGATTTCAAACACACTTGGTCCTCACCTGCATAGCAATCCTCTTCAGCAGCGCGTGCTTCTGGACCTCGGCAATGTCACCAACCGCCAAACCAATCTGCAGCACAGCACAGCAGTGGGTCACGACCGGTGTAATGGTTCGCGTCAAAGTGCACTTACCTTCTCTCTGGATACTGTCAGAGTGGCATGAAATTTACCAGCGGTGCCCTTGACACACTTCGTTTCCTCACCTTCCAGAAGCTGCAAAGCCTGTAACTCTGTAACGGTGATGGCCATGGTGGTGGGTCCAGTCATCGCAAGTGTTATCATGAAAAGTTCAGACATACAAATGCATCTGAAATTCATTTTATAATTCATCTTATGGGGGTGATGTGATATTAAATGCAGTTGGCAATAGCCATGCAACATGGTTAGAAATCGCAGGAGTTTGGCATCTAAGGTAAACAAGAGTGTCCAGACAACATGGCAAAGTTAAAACATTAAGCTGAAGGAGCCCTAGCGGGGTAGCTCAGTTGGTTAGAATGTTGCCCCGATATGTCAAAGTTGCAGGTTCGATTCCCCGTCAGGGCACATGCAAGAATCAACCAATGAATCCAGAGATACGTGGAACAACAAATCAATGTTTCTTTCTCTCTCTTTCTCTTCCCCCACCCCTTCCTCTCTCTCTCTCTAAAAATCAATAAATTTAAAAAATCAACAAATAAAAACAACCATTAAATTGATGGAATGAAGGAATTTATATTTTACGTATGTTTGGCAGGAAAAGGTATGGTTCAGGGGTGGGCGAGGCTGTGGTGAAAAAGGAAAATCATCCTAGAAATCCATGACTAAGCAGAATTAGGTGAGTGGAAGGTGTCAGCCCAGTTCTACTCAGTCCAACTGAACTCTCACTGTCAGAAGCTCTGTACCCAGGTTGGATCAGCCCCCTGCTGGCTGCAGCCCGAGGGGAAAGCCAATCCCTGCTCTCACAGGGCTGAGTCAGGTAAACTCCAGGAGAGAAGGGCTGTCTGGCCAGGTCCCCACCATATGCCCAGAGTTTAGGAGGATAGTGCGGGGCACAGAAGGTACACAGAACGGCCGCTGAAGGAATGCACAGTGGGAATACAGTCCAGGGTGTGCAAACTTGCGTTACGAAGCAAACATCGTCAGCAAGTAGGTTTTATTTGGCAAGATCATGTGTTCTGTTTTTTTAATTGGCAAGTCTTGAGATGGACAGTCTCTCTGGTTTAGATCAGCCCCATCAAAACCAATGGTCTCACAACTGAGGTTTCATGCTTCAGAGACTCTTGCCTGGGCTCCACAGCATCTGAGCCCGAGTCAGAGACTTATAGCTGGTGAGTCATCTGAGCTGCGAGTCCCATTGTAATTTATTAATATAACTTACAAGCTTGTAAGTCTCATTATAATTTACTAATTAAAGTCAGTCATAAATTAAAAGTTAAATAATCAAATACTATTAATATTTAATAAGTAGCTAACATTTATTGAACGCACATCATGTTTTAAGTGCTCATTTCATCTTCACAATATCCCAGGAAGCAGGTTTTATTGTTATCTTTCTTGGATTTGTGTCCTCAAAACTGGTGACTCAATAGAGGGGCACCCGATTCGGACTCGGGTGCTTGGGTGGGGGAGTTGGCTAAGAAATGTGCCCAGGAGAGATGATGCTCGAGCTGAATGTGGCCACATAGGGAGAGTAACCCAGGTGGGAAGGCTTTCTGGGAAGAGGAAGAGCAGAGCCCAGGAGGCAGGAAGGGAAGCCGAGCACACCCAGCGGACGTCGCGCTGCGTGTCTGGGGAAGACCTGTGATCAGGGAGGAGCTGGGTGGGATGTGGGCAGGGTCCAGACCACCAGGACCTTTGCGTGCTGTGCTCATGTGTTTTGACTAGACTGAAGTTTTAGAAGAGTCATAGAAAAAAATTTGAAAGAGCCACTGACAGGCCCAACTTTTCATTATCAGAATATCATTGTGGTGACAATGTGCAGAAAGGGTTAGAGAAATGAGATGAGATGAAGAAACTCTGCAGACCACTGCAGTGATGGGGATCAGGACACAAGGGTGCAAGCTAAGAGGAAGTAGGTGTAAGAGGAAGAACTGAGGAAAAGGGAGGGGGTGGATGGAGAATGTCTTCCAGTGGTCTGAGTCAGTTTGAAGGAAGGAGAACATAGTCAGTCTCCAGTCTGTTGGGTTTGATTTTGCTCAGGGACACGCAGGTGGAGAAGCTCGGTGGGTGCTGGACATGTGGATCTTGAGTGTGGCACTGACCTGCACTAGTGCTAAGCCAATGATCTTCCCAAATATACGTGATTCTAAGAGAAGAACATGGGCTTCATGTCATTCTTTATCATTCTTAGTGCCATCTTTAATTTTTTTAGGTCACCAGAATAAAACAGGAGTTGTGTCAGGTAAGTGAATCAAAACATTAAGTGCAGCCAGTGTGGCTCAGTGGTTGAGCATCGACCCATGCACCAAGAGGTTGCCGGCTCGATTCCTGATCAGGACACATGCCCAGGATGGGGGCCAGATCCCCAAAGGGGAGCATGCAGGAGGCGATCAATCCATGTTCTCGCTCATCGATGTTTCTCTCTCTCTCTCCCTCTCACGTCCTCTCTCTCTAAAATCAAAAAAGGAAAAACAAAAACATTAAGTAGTCTGTATTCTTATTTTTTCTTTCTGGGAACACTGCCTAGCACAGTCCCTGGTGCATAGTCAGACTCCAAAAAAGTGTGTGGAACATGCACATTCAAGTAATTGAACAAGGAAAAACAAGCCCTGTAATGCTGTCTAGGGCCCTCCATGGACCTGGGATACATTCCTGCCTGCATCGGCCAGGATGTTCTTGGCTGGACAGGCTCCCTGTGGCAGGGCAGAGGCATGTCTGCTGGGAGTGGCCAGCCTCTGACTGGTTGACAGGGGACACCTGAATGCCACAGATGCCCTCCCCACTTAAATCTCTGGTCCACAAGAGATTCAATAGGAGAGTTCTTCCTCCTTCACCCCATAAAGGTCGCTGCCTAACCTTTGCCCCCCTCACCGACAACCCTAAAGCAACACACACCATTCATCTCTGTGTTCTTATCCTGCCTTGTAGCTCTTTGTAGCATTTATCACCCCCAAGTCATCTTGCTACACTTCTGTTTACTGCTTAACTCCATGACTAGTTTATAATCATGTATAGACTGGGTACTGATCTATTTTGTTCTCCACTGTTTCCCAGCACCTGGATCAATGTCTGGCATTTTGAAGATTCTTGATGAGTCTTTTCCAAGGGAATACATCTCTGCATCGCCTGGGCCCCACGTGGTGCCGGGCCCATTGCAGGCACGAAATGAACGAATGAATTTCAAAGGTGCCCCTTTTTCCTTTCATGGAGGGAGATTAGGGAGGCTAAGAATAATAACTATTAAGTGCCCCAAATGGTCAACACACAGGAAATACAAGGATGAATTACTTACAAGTAAATTCATGAGGACGATGGGGACAAACATTGTGAAGGTAATAAGTTGCGTGAAGGACAGAAGTGGATACGCCAGCTCATTTCTCAGAAACGGCTCCAGAAAGGCATCGCGGTAACTGACGTCCCCCAGCATCATGCTGAAGGTCTGGACTATGGAGAGCAGTGGAGAGCTGAAAGCGTCCTGAGGAGGGGCGGTAAGGGGAAATGAAATGCAAAATGTGATAATGAAAAAATGTTTCCTGGAGAGTAAAATAAGAAACATCATATTTAAAAATATTTGTAATCATAGGACTACAGCTACTAAAATGCAGTGATTAAAAACTACTAATGAATTGGTGGTGAAATCATCAAAATGTCCTTTCTGCACATACCCCGTTGTGCATGATACATAAACGTTTTGACAATGGAAAAAGTCATTTAATAAGGTACATTTTTTTCTGCAATAAAAATCATTTGAGTGCTAATATATCAGATAAAATGAAACTATCTCAAATATTATTGTGGTGTTATTGGTTTTATACACCATTAAGATATCAGTTAAATATATGTTCCCAATGTTTACAGCAACGAAATGAGCCACAGACACAGCCCCTCACCTGTATGCTCAGGAGGACGTAAAAGCTGAGCCCAAAGGCCAGAAGAAGGAAGAAAAACACGACGGTGGACCGCAGCAGAGTCTTCACAATGACCTCCAACATAATGATGAAGATACCACAATTTTCAAATCTAGGGCAGTTTGAAAAATTAAAATATTTATTCACTTTCCCGGCCCAGTGTCGGTATTTATCACGCACTAGGCACTAGTTTTCACACGTGAGATAACTTCCGAAAAGGAGAATGAGAATTCATGAATAGTCACGACGTATTTTCCATCCATGCCTTCAACCTGCTTTGTTTCATCTTTTTTTTCCCCCTTCTTGTTTATGTTTATCTGTAATTGTTTTCCCACTTGACCACAGAAGGAGAGGGAAATCATAGCTTTCCAGCACCCAGGACAGTGCTCCCCGACATGCGACGAGAGAGGTGCGTGGTGTCTTGGTGTGGCCCTGTCACAGGGCACGTACCCAGGCTTCACGTTCGCCATCCGAGCTTCCCTGTGTCTCCCCCAGCAACCGACGCTGTGAAATGTTTGGGTGGATAATGGGTGTCATCTGGTCTCTAACTTGAACTTCCCTTTTGGCAAAGACACCCAGTTAAATAGGGAGTCACAAGATCTTAAAGCTGAAAGCGACGTCAGAGGTCTTAGAAACTAGAGAGACATCTAGTCACTCGCTACGGTCACTGATAATGACAAAGCCTCGAGCGTGGCGCTGCCTGGACCAGTCCTGAAGCCTCCTGCCTTGCCAGCCACCCCTCCGCCCACACGCCCTGTCCTTTCTGGGGTGGCTCAGCCCCCAGCCCTGCGCTCGGTGGCAGTGCAGACCCAGGGTGGGAAGGCCTGGTCCCTGGGGTCAGAACAACTTTGGTAAAAGGCCGACATCTGACTTTCTAGCTGAGATCTTGGGCAGGTTACTAACTCAGTACCTCCGCTGCTGCTTTTATAGATTATGAGTACTGACACTGACCTCTGGTTATTGTAAAGATTATGTGACATAACATATCTTTTTTATCTTCACCTGAGGATATGTTTAGAGAGAGGAGGGGAGAAAGAGAGAAAGAGAAACATTCATGTCAGAGAGAAAGGTCGATCAGTTGCCTCCTGTATGCACCCCGGCCAGGGATCCAACCAGCAACCTTTTGGATGCTCCAACCAACTGAGCCACCTGGCCAGGGCTGAAATAACATATTTAACTCAACATTAGCAATTGTGGGAGGCAGGGGAGCTTAGCCCTCTTTCCCCTCTACAATTAGATTTTCGGGGTTTACTTTTTCCCTTCTGTCACTGTTACTACCCATACCTATCACTTCATTTGATTGGTTTAAACTAAAGTAGACAATTACCAAGTTATACCAGGCAAAACAAGAATATCTAATACTTTCACACCCATTTACTCCCACATTTAATCTAGATTTGTCTAGACTGGTGGTTTTTGATCGGGGGTGATTTTGCTACGCAGAGAACAGTTGGTAATCATCTGGAGACATGTTTTGTTGTCACAGAGTTGGAGACAGTTGCTACTGGTGTCTAGGACAGGGATGCTGCAAAACACCCCATGGTGCACAGGACAGAGCCCATAGCATTACCCGGTCCCAAATTTCAATAGTGCCAAGGTTGAGAGAAAGCTGGTCTACACTCTGAACTCCAAACCTCCCGCCTTTTCCTTAACAGTATATGAAAGGTATCTTCACGGTCTACAACAATTGGTAAAGGAGTAAGCCAGCTACAAATTTATGAGACTGATAAATCGTGTAATTGTTCTTTTGATATTAAACATGCCTAAAGGATGTAGAAATCACTGAAGCACGTTTTACCTCTGAAGGTACAGTAAGAAGTTCATCCAGTAGAAGTAAATAGCGATGGCTCCACACTGCCACTGCACGTGAGCTGGTATGCCCACGAACAAGGGCAACACGAAAATGATGCTTGTGGTGTAGATAATCCATTCGACTCCGTTGTTTTGATCCAAAAAGTAATTCCTTTTCTGGGTTGAAAAGAGTGAAGAGTTACCACATGTAGAGATCAAGCCCTGACATCTGATGGATGGGTGTACATCTGTAAGCAGTCACAGACTTTCCTGCATCAGCTAGGGACCTGAGGGCCAAGGGGCCAGCTGCTGCCATCCTGGACTGACCCCAGAGCCCTGGGGACATATCATTGTTGGAGGTGGCCCAGTCCCTTCTGTTGACCTGGCACTTGGGGAGTGCTATGCCTAAGGACATTCTACAAGTTTCTGGGCTTTCCCCATGGATTTCACTCCATCCTGAGGAAAACTCCAGGGGACTGCAAGTTGGTTTAGTAATTTCTTTCTGCCTATAAATGGACATGCATGTGGATTCCTCAGGATACAAAGCAACCAATGCTGCTTCTAAGGGGGTTTGAGACTCATACTAAGACTCCATTACCATTTGGATTTGGTGTATTTTCTATTCTTAAAGATGTGATGTGGAGTAGACCATTATCAATAAGAAAATGTGGAGACCAAATTTGTCATTCTCATGTTTAAAAAATGAAAATGACAAGAGATATTAAATAAAATGCCCTAAATCATTTAACATACAATGGAAAAATACCGTCTAACTCTCAGAATTGTGACAGTTTACTGAAGCTATATACATATGTGTATACAAGTACTCGCAATGTACATTATAAAATGCAAAGCACTATTATCATCATGCAAATACCCATGTGCTTATATTATGTAATAAGGTAAATTTCCACCTAAAATGAGGTATTGTATAAAAGGTATATGACTTAAAAATTAACATTTTCAAAAAGCACACCCTAAAAATGAATAATAAAAGACTTAGAAATAAAAGACTGATGACATCTATATCAACCAAAGCAAGGACCTACAGGTAATTTACACAATCCTTGCATCTGATCTATCCATTTTAAAAAGTAAAGTAGGAAGTAAAAATTGTGCTAAAAAATTCCCCCAATTTTATTATTACTTGAAATTTTATGTGATAAATAAAAGTATTCCTTGTAGGAAATGAATTCAAAGAAAAACACATTTGAAATGGAGTCTTGGCCCAAGTAAGTTCTTTATTAACAGTTACATTCAAAATGATCAAATTCCAAATCTACTTTTATGTTAGCAAAATATTAACCTGATGTCAGACAAAACACGGAGAAGTCATTAATCAATTCATCTGCAGCGGAACAGACCCGCGTGGACCCGGCAGTCTGGACCCGCCCTGCTGCGGGTGTGTCAAACAGGCACCATCCAGTGCAGGGAGCCATCTAACCACCTGGTTTCAACATGGTTTGTGCTTGGTACTTCCAATCCATACATCTGTCAAGGTGTGTGATTTTATTCTGACATACATTGTTCTAATAATAGTTTAGCAATTATTTTATGTTCTGCCGATTAAAATATTTACAACTTTCAATATAAAATGCATTGTTTACCTGCTGGAAAATTTGGACCACTTCTTTGCAATATCCAAGTAAGCTTGATAAAAACACTAAAATCATGCAAATGTTTATAGAATATGAATTCTGAAACAAAAATAATGTAAGACAAGCACTTATAAGTAGATACATTAAAACAACATTAATTTCTTAATATTTTCCACTAGTACATGTTTATTTTGTTTTGCTTGTGCTTCATTTCTATACACTGTCCATATTTGCTTTAAACACATAGTTACTGTGAAGCCAGTCTAAAGATGACACACTCATTTCATAATGTCCTAAGTAAGACAGGTTCAAAAACTGCCAATTGAATTCTAAAGGAAAATGAATCTGAAGACCTATGTACAAATTATTTTACTCTAGTAAAATACACATAATATAAAATTTATTATTTTAAGAGTTTTACATTTTATAAGTACATTTACATTTGAAAATGTACATGTCTGTGGCATTAAGTACATTCACAGTGTGATGCACCATCACCACCATCCAGTTCCATCATCTTTTCATCACCCCAAAGGGAAGTCCTGAACCCACTAAGCATCACTCCCCTCTCCCCACAATCCCTGGCAGCCACAAACCTGCTTTCTTGTACACAAATTTTTAAGTTTTGTACTTCAGCATTCAAGCTAGCATCTCAATTCCTTTTAATTAATTTATAAACTAATTTACTGACTTATTTGTTTATATTCCCTCTCATTCCACAAAGGATTTTAGGAGAAATTATTACCATATATGAACTCTATAAGCTATTTATAGTAGCCAAAGTCCTGGTATTTCAGACTTAGTATGGGGTTCATATTTCTAAGTGGAAAATACACACTTTTTATAATCTTTTCTTTTTAAAATTTGAAATATGAAAATAAATGGAAAAATACCTTGGTGTCTAATATTTCTGAATGATCACTGGTTTCATTGATGATTCCAGTTGAGTTGAAAGCCGTACCTGGCTTTATATAGACAACAAGAAAGGTCATAGGCAGGAGACCAAGGCAGTAAGATCCTAGGTTCATAACATGGGCTCTAAACCCATAAGCCAACCTACAAAAAAATAAGTAATCCATAATTGAGAAATTTCAACAAAAAATATTTCTTTAAGATACCTGTGGAAAAGTAGTTATGGTCTCTCTCAGAAATCTATTTGGTAAATCCACTGAACTTTGGAACCAAGAAGATCTTCAAATTCATTTTTTTCAAAAAAGGAATTTCAACTTCCCAGTAAACCAGGAGTTACTTAAAACTCACCAGTGAATGGAAGAGCACAGCTCCTACTTTCTGATCCCAAGGTGACTGCTTTTCCCAGGAACGTACCTCTCTCTTTATTTGTGTCCACCAGGAATGCCTCTCCCTGTCATATACAGTGATTTCCCCTCACCCCAAAATATGTTACTTAATGTAAAAAACAAACACTATCATCATTTTAATACGAAAACATGTCTTCAACACACTTCCTTTGTAAAGTGTAAAACATTAAAATAATAAAATCTAAAACATCAAAATTCCATTAAAACATAATCATTTAGAAGACTTTTAATACATTGAATGGCGCTATCATTAAAAAGAAATACCCACCATTTCATAAGTAAATATTCTTTACACACAGGATGGGTGAGAAGCTCTATGCGATGATGTTGTACCATTGTCTAAGAAATAAGAAAAGATCCTATTTTATTAAGTACAATATAGTAAGCTATCAAGTGTAAACTAAGCTTCTTGTTTGCTGGTCTTATAACTTTATCGGTTATTATAAAAATAATAACTGTTTATTTTAGAAAATTTGAAAAGCCAAAAGTTATCTGAAGGATGTATTTAAAAACACACACACAAGCTATGGAGAACCATTGTACACAGATGCAAGTGTCTGGTTCAGTTTGTTTGGCAATTTCTCGCTAGTTGAGCTAACATAAGCTTCTCAGTCTTATACAAGTCACCGCTGGAAAGGACATTCGAGATAAATAAGCAAGAGCTACACCCTCGCTCTTTCCTTGAAGAAACGCAGGCTTATCTTTCTGGAAAGATTTTTAAACAGTGAAATACATATAATAGTAGTTAAATTAGCCTGTATTTTATAACTTTTCATGTGTTACTGGGAACTACTAGTATCTAACCTCAAAATTAATTTTTCTTCCTTTATTAATTTTTAGACAGAGAGGAAGGGAGAGGGAGAGAGACAGAAACATCGATGAGAGAGAACATTGATTGGCCACCTCCTGCATGCCCCCCACTGGGAATTGGACCACAACCTGGGCATGTGTCCTGATGTGAACCAGCGACCTCTTGGTGCATGGGTCGATGCTCAACCACTGAACCACACCAGCCAGGCTCAAATTTAATTTTTAATTATTCAGTAAATACATAGAGGAAGTGATACCGGCAGGATGGCAGAATAGGAAGCCCCAGACCTTGCTTCATCCACTGAGACAGGAGACATCAACCTAACAACAGTACAGAGACCAGCTGCCTTGGTGAGAATTCCAGAAAACTAGGTAAGAGGTTCCTGCACCCCAGGTGAGCCTGTAGCCAAAGGCAGTGGGAAAATCCATGGCATTACTCACTCTAGCCCCGCCCCGAGCACAGAACGGAGATTGAGAGAGAATACTCCCAGCTCCTCAGCTTCCTCCTGAGGAGGGAAAGAGAGGAGTGGAACAAATGTTCAATGTTCTAATTTTTCAGGGAGCTGCCAAGGGTCTGGTTTCTGTCTTGCCTGAATCTGAGCACTGACAGGTCCACCTAGACTCGCAGACTTCTGTGCACAGTGATTTCCTCTACCAGACCAGTTATCCCTCCAGAAGACCCTCACTCAGCTCCTGGAACTAGAGCAAGGTTTGCTGTGTTATGGGGACACTATTCAATCACGGGCTTACGTGCCGCCCACTGAGTATGGTGTATTCATTCAAGTGAGCCTGTTTCATATAAATTATACTGAGTCCATATTATACAGAGTCTATTTGTTTTAAAAGTTGCAAGTATTTTATTCCCTCCTATTCTGGTGGTGGAAACGATGAACTCTTTCTGATAAAGTATCACCTGTTCTTTGAATTACAATGCAAAAACTAAACCCGCTCATAGACAATCATTCGCTAAGTATAACTGTAGTGGAGTTACCTGCAGGTCACTTGGCTATTGAGTCTGAACTATAACAACTGCAAGAATTCACAGACTCCAGCAGAATTGAAATGCTTTGCACAGCGCAAAGGTGAATCAGTTGCCATCATCAGCCCTGTGGGCATAAAATCCTCAGGGCGGCTTCCTTCACATTCCAAGTACTCAGTAAGCCTCTGGAATTTCACTTGCGGCAATGGCTGGTATCATGGTCTGTACCAAAGGTGTTCACACAGGGAAATGAATTCATTTAAGGTGAATGAAAATTCCCAACTGGTCTAGACCAGTGCTATCCAATGGAACTTTTCTGCAAGAATGGAAATGTCCAATATTTCTGCCGTTGATTACGAGGGCCACAGACTACATAGACTCCTGAGTGCTAGAACTGTGGCTACTGCAAATAAGAAATGAATTTTTTGTCCGGCTGGTGTGGCTCAGAGGTTGAGCGTCGACCCATGCACCCAGAGGTCACCGGTTTGATTCCCGGTCAGGACACATGCCCAGGTTGTGAGCTGGATCCCCAGTGGGGGGCATGCAGGAGGCAGCCAGTCAATGTTCTCTCTCATTAATGTTTCTCTCTCTCCCTTCCTATCTCTTTAAAATCAATAAAGGAAAAACACTTTTTAAAAAATAAATTTTTAACTTTACTGAATTTTAATTGGTCACATGTGGCATATTAGATACACAGATCTAGGCTTTACAGCGCAATTTACAAATCCAACCCTCCACACGTTTTCTTTTGAAAGAAAAGAAATATTTCCATGCGCCTGGCTGCCATTCCCACAAGGCAACAGCCAGCAGCGATTGTCCTTTGACAGCAGGAGCCCACTCCGATCCGGTCCCTGCTTCCCCTGCAGTGATTTGAGTCTGAGATCCTGGTTTAGACTGAAGTAGATCAGCCTTACGGCTTTTATCACCTCCTCTGCTAGAAACACGCAAGCACTCTTTGGAATAAGAACTGATTTGGGGCAAGTCTCTCAGGAAATTTGGGTCCATACTGAGAATTTAGGGCCTGCTCTCAGATTGTTTACTCTTCCAGCAGGATCTAGGAGCTTCTGAAAGTCCAGAGTTTACCGTGAAGCCCAGTGGTTAGCTGCACTTGGAAGCCATGACTATAAAATGTCAAGCTCTGCATTTTCCTCGGGTTTACACTGGAGGAAACTCTTAAAGATGTATCTGTATTTAAGTGGACAGCCTATGTTGTCCCTGCTTTATTGGATTCTGGGTTGGAACAGATTTAAAGTGACCATGAGGATTAAAGTGATCAAGAGTGTGGAACTTTAAGGAGACCAAATTATAGCAACTGTGGAAAATGATTGCTCTCTTTAGTAAAGAAATATAAAGAGTTGGGCCACATGGCAGACAGACACAAAACTATAAACCTGGAATTCTCTCCAGGCCTCTTCCTGAACTATTGTATCAAACATCATGTAGAAACTGCCTGGATAAAGAAAACACTGGACTTACATTGATGGTTGTGAGAGGCTCATATGTAACATCTTGTGCATTTCTTTTCGTGAATTCTAATGGACATTGAAGATATCTGAAATTATACTCGATCTGTATAAGATACAATATTTAAAAATCACAGTCTAGTATAGACCCCAAAACTGTTCTTGACAAATCACATACACAAGCTAACAGTTCTGCTGCAAATTGATTCAAAAAAAGTTGAGTCATTTCATCAGAATAAAAGTAAATTAAGTGACTGCATATTAGTTTAAAAAATAAATAAATATCCTAGGAAGCTGTTATTTGATTGATTCTTAAATCATAGTCATGGAAAAAGATGAATTCTCAAAAGATCACTTAGACCTTTCAGAACTTCATTCTTCAGGCCATACTACACAAGAAAATGCGAGACTAGGAGCAACCCTAAGTAATGCTGTCAGAAACAATTAAAATACTGGGGAGAAACCGAGGATAAGGGGAAAATTGTCTCGTAAGGAGGTAATTGAGTAATATGACAAATGAAGACAATAATTACCATCTTTTGAGACTGTGGAACTCTACTAACATTTTTAATGCTCTTTAAAGGATTATAATAAAAGAAACTTCAAACTGTTATAGTAAAATGAGCTTACGTGGTAGTCTCGGCAGGACTTGTCCTCGGAGGAGGGTGTCATGCAGCAATCTAGAAGCACCTTGGAGAGGAAAAGGGGCTCAGATGCCAGGCGGGAGAGTAGAGAGGAGACAGGATTTGATCCCATTTCTAAAACAACACCTGAGACACTCCCTTCCCTTCCTTCGCTTCTTGCACCTCCAAGATAAACTATAATCCATGTCATCCGGGAACAAAGTTTAAAAAATAAAATGTTACACGCACCACTGCACACCTCAAGTGGTTCAGAAAAATGCCATCCACTTGAAAAACAAATTGCATTTACTGAAATTTGAGTGAGGAATATTCCACTAGTTTTGCCTAAGACTTGACGTCTTTCTGGGCTTCTAGAGAATATGTACTTTTTTTTTTTTTTTTGAGATAGAGAGACGAAGGGAGGGAGGGAGACAGAGAGAGAGAAGAACATCAACTGGCTGCCCTCTGCTGGGGATCTAGCCAGCAACCTGGGCATGTGCCCTGACCAGGAATCGAACCTGTGACCTTTTGGTGCATGGAATGACGCCCAGCCAACTGAGCCATGCCAGCCAGGACATGGAATAGGTATATTTTAGAGGATTCCTTCACTCAGTGTCTTGCAGTGATAATTACTTCTTCCTAATCGGCTTTCAGCTGAGCCCCGGAGTCTGTCTTTGGCCGAGATCCCATCAGCATTGCTCAGCCTGAAGCGCTGTGTTTGTGTCTGCACCTGGCTTGCTGTGCAGCCCTGACAAAGTCCTCGTCTAGAGCAGCCAGGGCAGGGGGAGAGACGGTACAAGGAGAAATACCACAGGCCCTCCAGATGCTTAACAAAGGGAGAGAATACATAAGGGGTCATTAGAGCTTCTGGTAGGGTACGTGGAGACAAATATTTTTGTGGGGTCCCCGTCCACATAAACAACTTGAGACTCCCCCCATCTGTGTGTTGGTATTTTTCTGGTGAGCCAAATTCATACCCCGAGAAAGAAATACTGCCCAGTCAGGCTGCCCTCCTGGACCCAGACTTGGACACCAGGCCCCAGATGAGCCCATCAGCATGTTGCCTAGAGTTCCTGGGGCATCTAGTCAACCCCACCTGAAGAACCCAAGGGTGAAGGGTTGGACAGCAACCCTGAAGAGGAGATTCAGGGGCCAGGACCCATTGGCTGGTCTCTACACTGGAGGCCTTAAGAAACTGCAAGGAGGTCTCTGTTGGTGATGAGGTAGTGGTACTAAGGGTCATACAGGCCTAATGAAAAATTAAAACACAACTAGTCGGTAGTGCTGTGCAAGCCAGAACCAGAGAGACAGGGCTGGCTGTCACAGTGTGGGAGCTTCTGGAACAATCAGCATAGGCACAGTAAAGGATGGGCTGCCGGGGAAGGGGGAGGGGAACGGGAGGGGCTCTGTAAGTTCCTCAAAGGTGTAGGGTGAGGTCAAAGGAAAACACCTTTAAGTTTCCTAGTTAAAAAAAGAATTCACAATACTAAAATAATACAAAGTCATATAGAAAGCTAACTGGAAAATATATAGTAGCATAAAGAAGAGAAGAAAAATCCATTATAGCTCTGGCTGGTTTTGCTCAGTGGTTAGAGCATTGGCCTGCGGTCCAGAGAGAGCCGGGTTCGGTTTCCACTAAGGGCATGTACCTCGGTTGCAGTTTGTCCCCGGCCCTGGTTGGTCGTGCGGGTGGCAGCCACTCGATGTGTCCCTTTCACATCAATGTTTCTCTCTCTCTCTCTTCCTCTCTCTCTCTCCCACTCTATCTAAACAAAAAATGGAAAAATGTCCTCAGGTGAGGATTAAAAAAAGAAAAACCCATCATAAACCCACACCTATGATAATTCTTATTAATATTTTGGTTTCTTTTCCTATTCTTCTTTATGTTTTCCATATGTGAATATTTCTAACACTTTTTTTTTTTACTATTATTAATAATGTTACGGGAAACATCATCATATAAAATCTGTCCCTCTAATTATTCATTAGGATAGATTCCAGCAATTGGAATTACTAAGAAAGAAAGTCTGAGATCATTTTCCATCATGAGTGTTTATATGGCCTTTGATGAAATGCAGGCACCGAAAATGCCAGTCTATGAACTGGACCTGCTCCAATATCCATGAGATATTATTAAAAAAAAAAAAAAAAAAAAAGCACACGAAGTACTTAGCACATTCTAAGAGCTTATCGAATACACAAAAACAGCGTTATAGTAATTAGTACTAATAACCACATACGCAGTATAAAAACACAAGAATGTGCAATATGGACTAAACACTATCCTAAATACATTGCCTATTTTACCGCTAACTTCTGTAATTACTTTGCAAGATCAGTATCAGCTTCACAGCTTTACAGAAAACAAAAATGGAAGACGAGGCTCAGAGAGGTGAAGCGACTGGCCCAAAGCAGCACAGCACAGGCAGAGCCAGGACTAACTCCCCGGGCCCCAGGCTCCACACCTGTCTCGCTGCCTCCTCATTTGGATACATTTTTCCCTGTGAAGGCTATTCAAAGTTGTTCCTCTTTCTTAATTATTCTCTGGCCATCCCAGTCCGCAAATCTCAGCTCTGCCAGGAGATGCTGGAACACCTGCATCCCGGGACACTCACAGCGCAGCGTTTGTAGGTGTTTCCCTTATGGGGACCAGTGACATCCCACAGAGGCCAGGCAAGCAGGGCGGACCAATGAGCTGCAGAGCCTTCAGGGCCTCTCCCATTGTGCTTGAAGTGCTGGCTCTCCTAGCGCTGGCTTTTGTCTTCACGGTTTGGGTTTTCTTCTGATTCATTTTACTTTTTAAATTAATTTTTCATTGACTTTATTGGGGTTACACTGGTTATAAAACTATATAGCTTCGAGTGTATAACTCTATAGTACACCACCTGGATATTGCATTGTGTGTTCACCACCCAAAGTCAAGTCTCCTTCCATCTCCATTTATCCCCCTTTTACCCTCTTCTACCTCCTCCCAGACCCCTTTCCCTCTGGTGATCACCATACTACAATTTCTTTTTTTTTTCTTCATCCCTTCACCTATTTTACCCGGCCCCCCAACCCCTCCTCTCTGACAGCTGTCAGTCTATTCTCTGTATCTCTGAGTCGGTTCTATTATGTTTGTTTGTTTGTTTTGTCCATTAGATTCCATATATAAGCGAAAACATATGGTAATTGTCTTGCTCTGGCTGGCTTATTTTGCCTAGCATAATATCCTCTTGGTCCATCCCTGCTGTTGCAAAAGCAAGATTTCCTTTTTTATTTTTCACAGTTTGGACAGAGGCATATAGAGAGACATATCACTGTGCTTCAAGGGGAGCAATTACATAAGAATGATGATACCTGGCAACTACCACCGGCACTGGAGCTGAATATACAAAAGGCGGAGGCAGGTATCAGAAGGAGGCTTCGCCCCAGCTAAAGGAAGCAGTTGCTACTCACTGGCCCAGCAATTCCTGCCTTGTGCACAAGGAGGCCCAGTCACCAGATCTGCTGATTTTTACAGGAAGCCAGATATCTGCATCCTTAAGGGAAGCCTCCTGGTTTTAAACGTTAGCAAGTACTGCAATTTTGAAACAATGGCATGCATTCCATTGGAAACACATCTAGAGGACTGTTAGCAGCAACTGCCATTCATAGACTTTGCTCTAGGCTTGAATTATTTGAACAAAAAAATCTGTTGCACACATTTTCTATATTACACATAAAACCTAATAGGATTCTTTAATCCAAGTAGGTCCTTCTTAAATACTTGTTGGCTGACTTCCCTTATAGCCTATGGAAAACTAGAAACATTATTTAAAGATGGAAATTACTACTATTTAGTAGTTGTGATTACAGCAGTAAATCCTCACATTATAGTATATGCCAAGCATATACTCAGAAGGAGTTTGTTTGGAGAGCTTACTTTCATGCATTCCGGGAGGTATTCTACCATTTCCGTGACTGGACATTTGTTGCTTGGAGAATTATGACTAAAAACCCTAAGACATTCTTCCCATCTGTAAAAAAAAAAAAATTAAAAACATGTTTTAATTCATTTGTTCTGCACAATAACAATGCTATCAATCGATACTCAAAATTATATATTTATGAGAAACCTGAATTGATTACAGTGGGACCAACATTTGAACCAAGATGAATCCATTAATAGGGTCCTTGCCCATTAATGGGAATTAGACATGAGGGCAAATTCCAGGATAGCTTTATAATCACTATTCCTTTCTCTAAATGCTCTTGCCTTCTTTTCCTCCTAAGATCAACAGCTGCTCATGTTGGGTAGGGATATTCACACACACATATACGGGATAGTAACACAGTACTGGGTACAGGATATTCAATCCATGTATGCATCGTGTTTAATTAAATTACAAAACAGCATGTGTCAAGTATCCTGACAAGCACGCGTTCTGCCAGAACACTGCAGAATCTGCCCCTTTCTTCATTTCCATCCAGTTGGACAGGATAAGAAGATGCTTGTGATACAGAGGAGGAACTAGATCTACAACGGGAAGTAAAGAGCCCATGTACCTCCAAGAGCTTCTCTGTGTCATAGGAGAGTAGTTCTAAAAACCACCCAGACAGATTTTCTGTTAACCCTATCAGTCAAATCCATCTGGAGTATCTGCGTAATCAGTAGAAAACTTCTGGTCGCCTGCGTGCCTCGGTGAGAGCTTCAAAAGCATGATTAGCAGGGGGCCTTGAGACTGTCCCATGCTCAGAAGCACAGGCCTTATCTGCCTTGAACAGGAGACGGTCCACCTCTGTGTCCACTACCCAGTGACACTGCGCCCTTGCATGTATCTGTCCATCATTACATAGAAAAAATTACACACCAGAAGAGGGACAAACGACTCTCCAACTTCATCATGAAAACTCCTAGGAGGCTGGTTCAAAAACTCACAACCACAAAAGATCAGGTGTTAAGGGAAATTCCTTTAGACCAGTGGTTCTCAACCTTCCTTATGCCACGACCCTTTAATACAGTTCCTCATGTTGTGGTACCCCCAACCATAAAATTATTTTCGTTGCTACTTCATAACTGTAATTTCGCTACTGTTATGAATCGCCATCGGAAATACGTGTTTTCCGATGGTCTTAGGCGACCCCTGTGAAAGGGGCGTTCGACCCCCGCAAGGGGTCGCAACTCACAGGTTGAGAACCGCTGCTTTAGATGGTACTAGTCACAATAACAAGTTGGAGAATATCTTCCCCAACATCCAGTTTGGGGATTTCTGTTGGCAAGAGAGTGTCAGGGAAGTTCACATAGAACAGGGCAGTCAGCTTGACCAGGGTGCCAGACACTGCACATGCCTGAGCCCGTCTCCCCAGCCAGCCACGGAGGCGGGCCAGGCTCCCACGATTTAGACAGGGAAACTGAAGCTCAGAGAGGTCAAGCACGATGTCTGCTGTCACCCAAAGAGTTCATTAAACATTTTCTGTAAGCAACTGACATTTAAAAAGTGATGATTAACAGCGGGGGCTTGTCCTCCTTCTCTGTTTCCTCCCAGGTTGTGAATCATCCTCACGCCAGGGCACGCTCAGGGGCAGCGGACAGCATACCTTGCGTGCCTGATGGTGGTAAGAACCACCTCCTTCCTCTTGCTGTGAATGGCGAGGTGCAGAAAGGAGGCCTGCTGCTTGTTCAGGACGATGTCCACACCGTAGCCCAGGAGGAGCGCGACAGCCTTGGCGTGGCCTTCCCTCGCAGCCAAGTGCAGCGCCGTGTTCTTGGGGAGAAAACAGAACACACGCAACTGGAGTGACAGTGGTTAATCGTCCCCTGGCTATTTTACTGCCATGTTTCATTGCTGAACTGCTTAAAAGAAGCGAGTCAAGAAACTAACTTTTGAGTACCAAAATGCATAAAACTGAAAACTGATGTTTCGGCTCAAGCTTCAGAATAATGAGTTTCTTTCTAGTTCCAGGGTGGCGCGTGTGCGGGGTGGGGGTGGGCCCGTGTGTGTGCATGGATTCCACACACTTGTTTTGCTTTGTTTTTGCAGTGGGATGATTCCATGAGGTCAGAGCACAAGCTGTCGGGGTAAGGATGCTGGAGTGAACACAGAAGAAAATACTTCTGGGAGATTTATTATTTCCCAGTACAGCAGAGCAGTGGTTCCCAGCTCCGGGGTTTTCACAGGCTTGTAAAGTTTTTTGTTGTTGTTGTTTGTTTTTTTAAATCAGAGCATCTCTGAGACTGCCAGTTTTTTGTTTTGCTACATAAAGACATTTTTTTTTAAAGTGACAATCTTAGCGCTGGCCAGTCCTGCTCAGTGGTTAGAGCGTCGATCTGTGGTTCGGTTCCCGCTAGGGGCAGGTACCTCAGTTGCAGTTTGTCCCCGCCCCGGTTGGGGTCGTGTGGGTGGCAACCAGTTGATGTGTCTCTCTCACGTCGATGTTTCTCTCTCTCTCTCTTCCTTTCTCTCTATCTGAAGATAAATGCAAAAATGCCCTCGGGTGAGGATAAAATAAATAAATAAAAATAAAAAAAGTAAAAGTGACAATCTTCCATCTCTACCATTTTGTGAGCGAATTTACATTTCAACACTTGCCTTTCACGAATAGAGGAAGGACATCTTATTGGAAAACGGGACTGCCCTTCAAATCAAATCCACTTCGCTTTATGAAGATTTACCCCTGCCCTCTTTATTTCTCTCAGGCCACCAGAGTGGTGAAAATGTTATCATCAATCCACACAGGCCTGTGAACAGTCTCTGTGAGACTGCAGAGGTGTCCTCAACGTGTACCCACCCCCAGCCTTCTCCGTGGTCTGTTCCCCTCCGCACGGTGCTCTCTCCAAGGGTCTGCACAGTAAGAGCCCAATAAAAGGCTGTGAATAGGGCAAGGAACTGAAGCAGTGGCTAAGAACGCGGCTTTCTTGTGATTTTGGAAGCTTCTACAATTTGGGGTAGGTATGAAGAACACAGTACATACCCCATCTTCATCAATCTGATCCGTTGTGCACCTCAAATTAGTGTCAAGAATAACTTTCATGGTCTGAGTGTATCCGCCCAAGGAAGCATGATGCAAAGCAGTCCAGCCGCTGTGGTCACTGTTAAAGAGGTAAGAGAGGATGTGCGCATTCCCCTTACAGATGAAACGTGGGCCAGCGGCCACCCATTTGAAAGGCACGTCTTATGACCAAAAAAAAAAAAAAAAAATGCAATTCTAGGAACCAAATATTTATTACAAATGTATAACAAACGTGCTCATTTCAAACCTAAGGTTATTAAATGATCTACCTATAATGTGATTCATGCATATTTTTCTAAATTCAGCAGGTTAAAATATAACAGTATATAAACAAAACGGGGGTGGGTGAAACGAGAGTTAGCAAGTCTGTGTCGTCCATATTTTTCCAAGGCTGTAATGTACTTACACATGCCATTTTAACGCTCGTTTTATTCTTTCATTGAGTATTGTATAAAAAATTCCCATGATGGTGGTAACAGTTTTCATGACCACTAGTTATTACTGATAATGATGATAATAATATCATCATCTTATAATACATGACGATACTTAACTTAGTGCTACTTAGCTTTCTAAGAGTTCAAGGCCAAAGAGATCTTTCCTCTGAGCTCTCCAAGACGCTTTCCATTTGGAAAATGTTTGTCTTTTCTCACAGAAATTTAGTATTAAATACAATGAAGGCTTGATATTTTTCCAAATGGCAGAAAAAAGTGTGAGATCCTGACACAGTTTAATTTCAATGCTGGTGAGCAACTGTGTCAGGGTGCAAGGGCCATCTTGCTATTTCAGTTACGATGTAATTAAGGAACAACTCTCTGGCCGGGGGTCACTGGGGTGCCCCTGCAGGTGCCTGCCTGGTGTTCCCATGGCAGCAGGAAGGAACTGAGCAGACACGCAGGTCCCAGCTGCGCCACGACATTGCTGGGCTGGCGGTCCGATAAGGAAATGTGTTTCTGAACATGAGCCTAATGAGCTCGTTGCTCATTCACCTGGATGCTAGTAGAAGGCGGCTCATCGTGTGTCTATAATGATGCGTCTATAACTTTTCTGGGGTTTTATTTTTATCTTTACAAAGATGTCATTTAATGATGCTACCTTTTTATTATGCATGATGATTTTAATTTGTTTTTGCTTCTTGTGTTAGAGTTAAGTATAATGAAAGTCAGGAGTATTCTGTATCTCGTGTTGTAGTGTAAAAGGTGCTTTTTATGTCTACCATCCGTCAGGTGGAATGAAAAGTACAGTCTTCGAATTTGTATGGAGTGTGTATCCATATACACACACACAGTGTTGGATCTGCATTAAAAAATGTAAGTGTGATGAAGTAAACTAGAAGGCACTGCATTTCAGACATCCTGGCAGCTACTCGGCACGAAGGCATTTATTCTGTGACCCTGAACTTGAATTCTATAAATCTCAACGCCTTCAGTCGTCAGCTGGCAACTATACTGACTTCTCTTTCAATATTTCAGAAGTCACATATGTTTCAAGCAGTAAATTAGATAAAGGTACTTAAGGAAATAGAAAGTTAGGCACCATAATTAATAATAGAACTGAAAACCTGAAAATGGCTAACTAGAATATATATATATTCTAGTCATACATCCTCACCTGAGAAATAAGGCACCTTTTCTCAGAAGAAGTTGAACTACTTTATCATGCCCATTTTTTGCAGCCAGGTGGAGAGGAGTCATTCCATGAAGGTCACCTTCATTCAAAAGTCTCGTATCACTCATGTCTTGCAGAAGCCTCTGACAGGTATTGATACGCCCATAACTTGAAAAAATTAGGTTTCATATGTTCAAAGCAAATATCAAACAGAAAGATGACAGGCTCATATGTCACATAAACTGACCCTTACCTGGCTGCAAAATGTAGGGGTGATTGTTTATCTTTGCTTTTGGAATGAATGGACACATTAAAGCCAAGTAGGTTATTTACAGAGACAGGGACCCCCTGTCTACATGCATAATGTAGAGGAGTACACCCATCATTGTCTTCATCCATCACCAGCTCTTTAATATGTTGCATCTATGGGAAAAAGTAATATTCTAAACATAATCCTGCTGTCATGCTAATTATAGTGTTTTTAAACTATTCTATAGGATAGTATTTTCCAAGAAGGGTCACTATGTATCCCTTGAGGCCAAAAAAATATAAATAACATGAAGGGTAATAGAGAAAAATAAATGTGGATCACAGTTCATGCTGTCTCCCTAGAGTGTACATTACTGTAATGTACAAAGGCTCTGGGAAATCCTGACAGTAGGAAATGTACTTAATATTTTTTAACCTAGCATTTTCCAAACATATTAGACCATAGACTACCCTCCACAGCCCTCTCTTCACCCCCCCCCCCAAATAACAATTAAGAACTTAATGCTAATGTGTTCTGTTAGGAGAAAGGAATGAAATATTAAAATTAAGTTTGCTTTATCTTTTGTATAAATATTAAATTTAAAATGAATGCCAAATGAGCATTCAATGAGCAATTAATTAATCCAACCAATAAGTGAACATTTTTATTTAAAATATTCAAATACAGGGGTGGGCAGAAGAAGGTATACAGTTGTAACATTCTTTTGAGTTTATAAGGCTATTGTAATAATCATAACCTGCAAGTCTTTTTTCATACGAACAACTGTAAACCTACTTTGTCACCCCTGTATATTTTTAAATTTTATTAAAGATGTTGGAAATATTGAAATCTATTATAAAAATATGATGCACTTCAGATATACCTAATAGTCGCTCAATAAATATTAGTCAGTGAATATAAATATGGAGATAATGTTTTCAACATGTCAACAAGTCAAGTATGATGAGCAGTTTTTCTTAATTGATGATGGTGTACTCCTAACCCATGCATGTTCTTGGCCTTTTCACTGATACCCACTTCATAATGGTCAAAAAATGAAGGAAAACTGACTCAATATAGGTAGATGGGGGGAAAATGGGAACCCTCTGTAACCTGGAAAATTCAGTCCCAATGTAATGTATCATCATCATCATCATCATCATCACCACCACCGCTAAGTTGTAAAAAATATTTAAATATGACATCTTTATTTTAAAATAATTTTTAAATTTCAGAGTTAGCCTTCATAATGATAAAAATTATAATAAGCAAAATCACTTTACTCTGTTGAGCCCAACTTGGTTTCTGGGAATCCATACATACACAGATACATTACCTGCATAAACTCAGGTTGCAAATTTCTTAATCCATGAGGTTGCTGTACAGTCAAATGCAAAAAATTACGTCCAAGATTATCTTTTATATCTACATGGGCACCTAAAAAAAGCACAATATAAATATAACTTCTACTCATTTACTTAAATCATAGCCTATGGTGAAGTTTTAATTTAAGAAAATAAACAAACAAAAAGTATTTTACTTAAATCTCTCCCAACCTTAACTTACAGGAAACTTTATTTAGTTAAGAAATATAGTTTTAAATGGTTTTACCTTACAGTGTGTACTCTGCGTGTGTGTGTAAAGTGAGAAGAGAATATATGTTTTTTTGCATTAATTAATGTATGAAGTCTTATCTTTGAGAGCATAAGCTATAAAGATGGAGAGATTAGAAATCAAGAAAGAAGAGAGGGTGATATTTCTCTTTGTTATAATCACACCAGGTTAGTATCTACAGTGGGGATAAGTTATAGTACTTATATTGCATAAAATTTAACCATTGAAAGAATGTAGAGAAAATGTTCAGCAAAATGCCCAGGACATGATAATCACTTTATAACTATTATCTATTACAGTTCTGAAATTATCTGTTTAAGTACTGATCCCTTACTGGACTGAATTATTATTCTATTATCCTAGACATGGGAAATATTCTATTTATCTTTGTATTCAAGCACCTGACCCGATGCCTGGCCCACAATAAGTGGTTAATTAACATTTAACCAAAGTGAATAGTAGTTCTAAAGGTTTGGCTTGGTCCCTTGTGGTACCTTTAGAGAGTAGCAAGTTTACAATATTCCAAGATGCAGAAACAGTCGCTAATAAAAGTGGAGAGCGTCCTTCAGAATCGGTCCTATTAATATCTGCTCCCTAAAAAGACAAGTCATTCAGTACAAAGCTTATGAACAGACAAACCGGCTTACATTACAATCTGTAATTAATATGAATTCATGGGGATAGTGTGCCCACAATAAGGCTAGCACCCAAGCATCTCTAATTCATATGTTGTAACATCAGAAATCAAGGCATTCTTTAATCATTTCAACAACAAAAATAATTCTCACATGTTAATCCTTTAACTGACATCTGGCAATAGATCTGTGTTACTACCTAAACAACAAAAATAAAATCCTTTGACCTTTAGCAATAGTTGAGTTCCCACTTTAAAAAACAATTTTTAAATGTCCATAAAAAAAAAAACTTCCAAATTTATTGCATGCATGATTTCAAAAACATTCACAAGACACTGTTCACTTAGTAAAAAATCTACCGTATCTGAAAGAGATGTAATTACCATCATATCAAGAGTTGCTATTAACAACAAATGCATGTTAAATACTACAAATGAAACTACATTTGTTGCTGATATGGTAGAACTTAAATAAATACATCATATATTCATCTGTTAAAATTTAACTTGAGGTTAATTCCTCAATTTTTCATTACTTGAAAGACAGCACTGAGGCAGCTGGGGGTGGAAGCTTATAGTGAGGGGTCACGTGGCGGGGACTACCCGTCCCGCCCCCACCAGATGTCACTCAAAAGATTAACATATGAGGATGCTTTTAGTTGTTGAAATTATAAAAAGACGCCTTGATTTCTGAAGAAGGGCCAGAAGAGTCGCCAAGCCTAGCACGCCAGAGCTTTGCTCGCCATGCAGCCCCTACTCCCCATACTTAAACACATGTCAACACATGGGGAGCAGTGCTTCTAACTTCATGGCAATGACGTTTGGCTCTTATGTATTCATGCACAATACACTCTACTTGCATATGTGTTGATCATCTTTTTGTAAACGTTTTGCTAATAAGCAAAAAATTAAAATTTGGTTTATTTTTGAAAACTTATATTATCTAATTATATAATTTTCAACTGCAAACAGTAATAAAAAACTGTCAATGGAATAGTTACCACTGAAATTAAGTACTCTGCTAGTTCGTGGTGATCAAATAATGAAGCCCTGCAAAAAAAGAGAATTATAAGCATTTTAAGCTACTATTGATATAAAATAAACCTACTGTATTCAGAAAGTCAACTGAAATGATCATTTAATAACATAAAATGCTAGAGAATTAAGAACCTTTCGAAATCCATTATTGATTCTGATTACGGTAATATTTTCAAAGTAATAGTAATAGAGGAACCTCAAATACATCACAAGATTTTCTTCCTTATCTTTTCATAAACCTGTGTTCTCCATGTCAAATCATCATGAAGATGTTCTGAAAGTGAGTAGTAACATCTGTCCTAAGAGCTTAAAGTAAAAGATAACAGAACTGATTGTTACCACTGTCGACCCTGGAGAATAACAACAGCTCATGCACCTAAAATTCATCAGTTGGATTCAAATGCACCCTCTTTGGTAACAGGTAACAAGGCAGAGTTTGCTTTCCTGAGGTTTTATGAAGCCACAAATTATGGTGAGAATTGCAGTCATTTCGGTATTATCTCACAGCTAGTCATAAGGATAATGCTAATAAAGTAAATAAATGTTTTCCATCTATATCAAAGCACAACCATAACAAATGTTAATGACTTATAACTTTATGTCTCCTATGGCAAATCTTGTGTCCTTGTTCCTATTCAAGGTTATCTTAGCTATTCTTAGCCCTTTGTATATAAATCTCAGAATCAGCTTGCTAATTTCGACCCAAACTTTACAAGAGGTTGTCTCATATTTAAATTAAGATTAAATGCATCTAGTAATTTTAAGAAATAAATAATGACATTGAGGCCCCATTTGATCTGTTCTGACATCTCCCCAGCCGACAGCATTGCTAAGCAGCGTGGGCTGCAGACCAGGAACACTGGCACCCTGGGAGTCCATTAGAAATGGAGATTCTCAATAGATCTGGATGCTGAAGCTTGGACAGGTCTAACGACTTGCCAAAGGTGACACAGCCAAGCAGGATTGGAACCCGTTAGCTAGAACAATGCACTGAGGTCTTTGCACTATAAAACTAACAAAGAATTCTAGCTTAAAGAGAAAACTTCGCTTTGAAGCTCAATATGAACTCCAAATGTCACTGGCTATTAGAAAGTCATTTCAGGATCCTAAGTCAGTATTTGGTTAATCAGAATTGGACTGAACTGATCCAAGAAATCTTCAGCCAATTCAAGTCGAGTATGTCTAGCTAGGTTAAGGATACTTATGGGTCAGGTAGATGGATCTATTTTTCTAAAATAATTCCTTCTTGTGCATATTTATGTATTCATTGTGTATATTAAAGGTGTATTCTAAATGGACAGTTTTTAACTATACCCAGATCTTCTGTTTCTAAATTGGCTAAATATTGTAATCACTTAGTAGTTGTAAAAATTCCTGATACCCAATCCAAAGATTCTAACATAATCTGGGATATGAGTTGACATTGGGATTCTATAAGCTCTACATGATTCGAATGTGGACTGAACTGGATTTATTTATCCAGTTGGAGACTCTCCAGGCTAGAGGTTAGTCTATCTATTAAGTTACTTTATTTCAAAGGCTTCCCCACCTCGTTTCTAAGGTTTCTAACTGGATCTTTTTCATATAGCAATCTGATTCATTCATGCCAATTTGTTATCTTAATCTATTTATTTTTATGTAACTGATTGTCCCTTCCTTTAAATATCTGAAAGTCTTAAATAATATGTTTTAAAAAATATTTTCAGAGTACCGTATTACTTCTATTTCCTTGGAAGCAGTCTTTTGTTGATTGTGTTGTCTTTTATACATTTTCCTTTGTGCTAAGAAATTTTAATTAGCAAACTCATCCTAAGTGGGAGTTCCCTGGAGTGCCCTTCAATGCAGGCAGGCCCCACTGTGCTTGGTGGTTTTGATAATGTACGTCCATCCCCCGTCCCCAGTTTAGAATCAGATCTTATATTTGTAGCTAAAGTTTCTTTTTCCCTGAGAGATATTGTGGATTTACAATATGTATTATCTCAGCACGCTTCTGCCATCCCTGGCTGCCAGCATGCTCACAGTTGCGTGTGTGTGTGTGTGTGTGTGTGTGTGTGTGTCGGAGGAGAGGCAGAGGCACACAGAGACAAAGGCAGACAAGGCTCATCTCAGCCACCTCTGTCACTCACACAGGAGGCACAGAGTCCTTGTCTTCCTGCAGGAATTGAACCCTCAGTCCACACTGCCAGTTCCCTGTCCCAGCACCTAGCACGCCTGTAGTTTCAGATGCTGTGTTCTCTGATGTATATTTCTGTTAACTCTACAGAAACATTTATCTTGTTAGGAGCTTGGCTATCATTTCCTAAAACAATGCTTTGAAACCTTTATCTATAATTTTGGGGGTGGGCAGAGAGGGGAATAGGGTAGGAAAAGCAGAGCCTCCATATGTATCTGCGCCATTATCCTCACTGAAAATGAGGAGAAGGCACAGGAAGAACTGGGGAGATTAGGAAGCGTGTGCAAAGCCACGTATGTTGACCTTCTGATCAACAGGAAATTAATCTTGAACCTCTATCCACTGGACTCAGAACTGACCCAGAATATGCCACTGGTGATTGTATTCTTTCAAAATCTACTTAGGGTTCTCCTTTGACTCCAGGGGAGCACGTAGTTTCCAGTTGAGCCCCAGGATATTTGTTCTGTTTTTTTTCTTTTGAATACTAGAATCTTTGATGGGTAAATGCTAACTTCTTCTTGCAGGGGGTCACTTAACACCTGAAGACTGACAATCTGTACACAGAATGGTAAGTAGGAAACTTGCCTGTGAAGCAATGTCTCCTGGTTTCCATCCACCGCGTTGACAATATCCCCAGTACCAGTGTAGGAGCTTATCATCAACTTTACAATCTCGGTGGCTCCCTGGGTGGCAGCAAAATGAAGGGCTGTGCACTTCCCATTCTGCAACGGGTCGGATACCAGAATCAATGGCCGTCCCAATGGGAGGATATAACCTAAATTCAGCTGTGAGTTTTTTTCTTCCCAGGTCAACAAAATCAAGGACTACGGAATTTAAGATGAATAGTAATCAGTTTCATCTCTTGAAAGGTATAAAAATCATAGCTGGCCACTTTGCTTCCTTGCAGTCTGACAGGTCCTAGCAGCATTGACAATACTTCTGTCCTTAACAGTATTATTACCTTGACTGGATCTGCATGTGTTTTTGCAGTTGTTTTTGGAAGCTCTCAAAATTCTTTACATAGATTGAAATTTGGGAGATTCTCTCATTCTGCTTCTACATCAGGAGCAGGAAATACCTGTTCCAATCTAATCAAGTGTAAAAGAGCTATAAAGCATTTTGCAAAATATGAAAAGAAAAGCTTGTAGAATATGAATGATTACCTCCATCAGATCCACCTGGGCGCCGTTGTCCAGGCACATCTTAATCATGTCCAAGTCTCCGCTTTGAACGGCCATGTGCAGAGGACTAGCTTTCCCGTTATTCACAAAGTTAACGTGGGACTGTCTGCTGTATCCATGTTCTTCGCCTTTAGAGGAAAATAAAATTCAGGATAAATATTATAAATAAATAAAAGGAATTTTTTAAAAAAGGGGGACTCTTAGACTTATTCAAAAGCCCATGTATAAATTCTGTTAAATATTTTTCAAATCATTAGCATCCACCAGTACAGGCTTCTTTATAATAGTGTATAATATAGAAAAGCCTCTACTCACCAAACTTTAATATTATTTCCATGCAGTTTTTGGCTCCCGAAAAGGCAGCCTGGTGAATAGGAAAACATCCCCACTTATTAGCTTTACATGGTTTAGCTCCACTTTTTAACTAGAAGAAAAGAAAGAACAATAACAGCAAAAACATTCAAATGACACAGCTTAAACCCCGCAAGGCCAGGATGGGCCAGGATTCATATGCCTTTCAGACCGTTTCATTGCTCTGCAATTACGTAAAACTAGACAGAACAGCTTCAGACCACATGAAATCTAGGTAGGAGGTAACTTTGGAACTAGGCTAAGATTCTGAAATAGAGACACTATATTTTCCAAAGATGAGGCAAAAACGTAGACGCAAACCATGCATCTTGATAGCTCAGAAAACTAAAGTCGACACGTTTTTCAATGGGATTAATGAGATATTTTTTAACATTAACAAGCTCCTCCTATACCCATACAAACAGAGTGAGATAATACTTCCCAGATTATTTTCCTTTTATTCATGTAAAATTAAGAAATGATTAGACCAATATTCTTGTCAACTATGAAAATCAGATATTTTCACTAATGGGGAAATTTTCCACTAAAAAAAAGTGTTAGAAGTACTGAATCATATATTACCTTGACCTCTGAGTCAATCATTTTCAGTTGTCATTTTCCATAGATCATAGGACTTGGGTTTTGTTTTAAGTACCTTTTATTATCATTAAAAAAAAAAGTTTTGCAAAAGCAGAAAAGTGTGATGAAGCAAATATTACCTTGTAATCTTACCTTCTAGGGATAGCATTGGTTTACAATATAGAAGACAATAATTTTTGTGTCTTATTATTTGCAAAGGTAATTTTTATGTGTATACTTTGTGATCATACTGTTCAGAAAAGTTGTTACCTACCAATATTTTTTTTTAAATATAATTTCATCAAGTACCTATTCCATTTTGGGGTGCACAAAGCTTTATATAATAAGTCCTATTAATTGAACTTTGTTTTATTTTTTTCAGTTTTCTCCCTCTCATATATAATACTGATATTAACATCAGTGATTGCTTTAATTATCTCCAGGCTATATTCCCAGAATTGGAATTGAGGGGTTTATTCACACCCACAGTAAATGAAATTCCCTAGCTCATGAAAATTTCTCTAACACTGTGTATCAACTAAATTTTTTTCATCTTTGGTTATTAGAGAAATTAATTAAACTTTATGTGCCCCCTTGCCAGTTTTCCATGGAGTGTTGCCTTTTCCTTATAGATTTGTAAGAGTACTTTATAGATAAATGTATATCTATTTAAAGGTAAATAAACACATAGATATGATCATATGCTTTGTCTGCTCAGGCTAAACATTGTGTTATAATCCAGTACTGAACTACACGCGTATGCTCTGCATAAGGCCAATGTGTATTTCGTGTTACTCTTTTAATTATTCGAATGAATTAATTGCTAGTACTTTTAAGATTTTACATCTATATTTATATGGTGAGATTCATCATCAACATATAACAGCATGTAATATTAGCTAGCTCCAGAGTTTTGATAATGCATTTAAAAAAAACTGTTTCATAGTTCCTTACAGGTCTTTAATCTTTTACTTAATTTTGACATTTTAATTACTTTCAGCTATTAATTCGTTAAAAGTGAATTTACAACTTTTTTTAGAATTGTGCATACTGATCTTCTGTCACTTAAAAATTACCATCAGAGTCTGGTAGGTGTGGCTCAGTGGTTGAGCATCAACCCATGCACCAAGAGGTCGCCAGTTTGATTCCCGGTCAGGACATATGCCTGGGTTGTGGGCCCAGTCCCCAGTGGGGGGCACGTAGGAGGTGGCCAATTGGTGTTCTCTATCATCAATGTTTCTATCTCTCTCTCCTGCTCACTTCCTCTCTCTCAAAAATCAATAAAGAAAAAAAAATTTTTTAAATAAAAATTACCATCAGATCCATGTAAAGCCCTTTGTTATTTCTAATTTTATGTATTTATTTGTACTTTATCTTCTTCCATTTTAGTTAGACTTGCCAATCTTTGCCTATTTGATTCTCTTTTTTAAAGAAATAACTTGACTTATCAAATACTTTCAAAATTATTATTATTTGTGTTCAACTTTACTATTTATTTAGTTCCATTTTATTTTGGTTTATTTGAGGCTCTTTCTAAATTCTTGGTTTGAGTGTTATTTAATTTACTTTTATTCTCTTTTTGGTCTAATCATAACAGTTTAAAAGAATCTGAATTTTTCTCCAAGACATAGAGTGAATATGTATGTTAGAGTGTATTGGTAGATGTAAATATTATAAAGATATTTTAAAATTATTTTATTTCATTTTCCTACTGTCTGGGAAGGCAGAGTGGGAAAATCTAATAGTAAAAATACAGAACGTGGGTTGAATAACACGTAAGTGATAAGGAATCTTGGGAAGAGAGTTCTTTGCTGGAATCCTGGCACCACACTCGAAGGGGCACTAGGGGGAGCTGGAGTCTGGGTTGAGAGGGGTGTGCCCTGTTTCCTGGACCACCGGCGAGAAGGCAGCTCTCAGTGCTGGGCCAAGGGCCTCAGCCAATACTGTCACGCAGGGCTCCGGTTTTGAGAACCCATGGCAATGTCCTCTCCTCTTGGTAACACGAAGGGCTATGTTTCTCTTCGCTTTTATTTCATGGCCTCAACAATAATATAGTTTGCAATGGACTATATTTACCTTTCCTTTGACTTTTCAGAAGTTCAGAGCCAAAAGTATGATACATTATAATTAACACACAGGCTATTATACTTTGTATTCTGTATTCTAGTCTCACTACCTGCTTCATCTTCATTTTCCTGTCTAAACTTTCTATTCACTTTGATCTTCTCACTCTTTCTTTAAAGTTTCCCTGTAAGCAAGCTCAGATCCATTTAAGATTTAAGGTGTGTGTACAGACATAAAAACTGTGTACAGCCCTGGCCGGTTTGGCTCAGTGGTTAGAGCGTTGGCCTGTGGTCCAGAGAGACCCGGGTTCGGGTCCCACGAAGGGCATGTACCTCGGTTGCAGTTTGTCCCCGGCCCTGGTTGGGTCGTGTGGGTGGCAACTACTCGATGTGTCCCTTTCATGTCGATGTTTCTCTCTCTCTCTCTCTCTCTCTCTCTCCCCCCCTCCCTCCCACTCTATCTGAATAAAATATCAAAAAATGTCCTCAGGTGAGGATTAAAAAAAAACAAAACAAAAAACTGTGTACAGACACAGAACTAGTTTTATAACATATTTTCTGTATTTAATATTTTCCCAAAAAAAAGAGAAACTGAGAGTTGTTGTAAATAACAATAATGAATGTTGTACTGATGAAATGGGAAAGCAAACAGAAAAAATAAGATTAAAATACAAACCAAAATCTGCAAGGCTTCACTGTTATCTGTGGAGCATGCGATGATCACAGCTGTGTTTCCATTTTCTCCTTCCAAATTGAGATTCGTACCTTTGTACTCGATCAAGACCTGCACGAGCGAGGGGAACAACCGTCATGAGTTAACCAGAACTTTCCAAACAGGGTGTTAGAGTATAAACTCCCGGGGGCCAGGGGCCCGTCCTCATCCACAGGTTTCACCCGCGCCCCCGGAATCTGGCCCGAAACCCGGCACATAGCGGCTGCCACGCAGATTCTCAAACAGATGAACCACGGCGATTTCTACATCTCATCAATCAGACGATATGCAGGTATGGAACTGGACACGGAATAAGGATTGTAGATATTAACGTGGTTCACGTACTACTTCTCACTTGTATTAAGTAAACTGTTAACTAACATCTGTGAGAAAGTAAATGTGTTGGAATGTGTGGATTGGGGAAGAGGAAAGGAGGGAGAGAATATGGGGGAAAGGGAGGGAAAGAGGAAGGGAGAGGAAGAAATGGTTTTCTTTTTTTCCCCCTCTAGTAATTTTTCTTCTACGGAGATTGCAAGTATTTGGGGAAATGTCATTAAAATTTCATTGTCTTGCCCTGGCCGGTTTGGCTCAGCGGTTAGAGCGTCAGCTGCGGTCCAGAGAGACCCGGGTTCGGTTCCCGCTAAGGGCACGTACCTCGGTTGCAGTTTGTCCCCGGCCCTGGTTGGGTCATGCGTGCAGGAGGCAGCCACTCGATGTGTCCCTTTCACATCGATGTTTCTTTCTCTCTCTCTCTCTTCCTCCCTCTCCCTCCCACTCTATCTGAACAAAAAATGGAAAAATGTCCTCGGGTGAGGATAAAAAAAAAAATGTCATTGTCTTCAATAGGGAGAAGAGAGTTTCATGTAACACTGATATAGCTTAGCTCAATTAATTCAGACTTACTCTGGAACAGAAAATGTTTCTATGATGTAAGAAATTAGCATTTCTTTAAAAATGGTTAAGCAATTTTTCTAATGGAATTTGAAGACCTGTTACCCCCTCACCTGGTTGACTTCCAGCTGATCACTGGCCAAGAATCTACAGATCTTTAATCAGATTTTACTTTATATTAAATCTAACAGTACTTACTTATCTCATGTAAATGTCTCTCCCAAGAGAGAAATCTTGGGACTGCCCTTCTGGAGGCCTTATCTCTTACAGTGAGCCTATGATAAAACTATAATGCACTTCAAATTAGATTGTTTAAAAAGAATTTATTAAAACAAGCTGTTTCCTAAAAACCTTGGCTTAAAAAAATTTATCTTTATTATTGAAAGTATTACAGATTTTTCTTCTTTTTCCCCCACTGACCCCTCCTTTGTCTCCCTCCCCACCCCCAACCCCCCTACACAACCTCCTACCAGAGCCCCCTGGTAACAGAATGTGTGTTGATGCGTTAGCAAATGAATTAAGCTTACTGAATTGCTCCTAAAAGAAAGTAAAAGTGAGGTTTTCATTCGTAAGAGCACACAGAGAAATTGCTGATGGATGAAGGAAGGTGAGAACACAAGCTTCACTCGATGGACTTAGGTGCATTCACATTCTGTTCTAACAAGTGGTAGTGTCACACGAAAAGTAACCTACCCAAGCCTAGAAGAAATTTCCCCCTCTCTGCCCTCTTAGAACCATAGATCATAGATCTGCAGTGTGTATTAGGGTGTTACTGCTGTATTACCATAAGCACAGTCTTTCCTAAAGCTGTGTCTAATTATATGTGCAGGGGTCCCAGGGACAGCAACTGAACTGTGCACCTACCTCAGATTCACTCATGACCAGGCAAGTCTGGAGCTTCTCAAGTGAGGCCTCCAGGTGTCCCCTTGATGAGAATCCAAGAAGCCTCATGGAAAAGTCAAGTCACTAGGTACTTTGAGGTTAATCCTCAAAGACTAAGGCCTACAAGTAACTGAAAAACAAGACCCCCTCCTATGCGCCAGGCCTGTGTGCCCCGGGGAACACCATGCATGCCAACAGTCTGCAAGAACCAGAGGGGACCCCGGGGCAGTTTTTTAGTTTACAATTATATGGGCCTTGATGGGAGATTTGGGGAAAGGCTGGCAGACCACATGATGGAAAAGCATTCTAAACTGGCCAGAACTGGGGGGCACAGGCCTGTCCCTGGGGTAGCTGGGAGAGGCAGGAGGAAGACCATTCGCAAGCACGTGAGACATTTCAAAATTCCTCCTCCTTCTCCTATCTCTTCATCTCGGGTGAAGCACAGGGGTTTGAAAGTATTTTTTAGAGGAAGTTACGCTGATAAGACCAAGTAAAGGAGAGATGATATCATTCTCTTGTAACCTTCCTTCTCTTGTTCCGGAATCACCAGGAAAATTTGTTATAGCTGCCACTCTACTTTATGAATCACTTATGGGCTTATTTCTAAATGTTCCTTTCTATTTCTGTGTGATACCGACCTTTCTGTATTCGTTGGCCTGAAGGGTTCTGATTTCTCATTAACAGTAGCCATTCAGCTGTTACCTGCCTCTGAATTCCCAAGTCACACTTCCAGAGACAAGGCTAATTAAGTCAATGAGCATTTGTTTCTGAAAAGAGCCTTCTGAGGAAGCCCAAGAGTCCTTGGGAAAATACTATGTGACATCTCTGGGGGCAGGAGATGGGGTCCCTACAGTCATTAGAAGCCCAATTCAGGTGGTTCATGAGTGATGTAGACATTTAAAGAACAAACAGGTCACTGGCAGAGGCCTTTCCAATAACCTCCTCGATGTACTGCCCTGATTCCTTCCTAGGTGCTGATACCCGAGCTCTCTCCTTCTGCTTCAGCCAAAGCCCTGACTTACTCATCCATTCATTCCAGACGTATCATTAACAGGGGACTCCCGATATTGAGATGAGTCACTCCCAAGAAGGGAAAGAAGCAATACACCTGTGATTACAATGCCCCGTCCAAGAATCGGGACAGACCTATACACAAGGTACAATGGGGAAGAGGAAGGGGGCTCCCCTCACACCCTCTATGTCTTAAAAACAGGGACCAAGGACTCAGGGGGCTGAGAGGACAGTGTTTGAACTAAAGGGAGCATGGAGCTCATGGACACCCTAAGATCTCTTTAGTGACTTACAGACAAAGTCGTTTTAGGTGTGGTGTGATGAAAAAAATGTTTTTGTCCCTCAAAAGTGAAATCCCAATCCCCAACATGATGGTATCAGGAGGCAAGGCCTTTGGTAGTTGATTAAGCCTTGAGAGCATAGCTCCCATGAAGGGGACCCATGTCCTTATACAGAGACCCAGAGAGCTCTCTTGCTCCCTCCGGCATGTGAGGACACAGCAAGACAACAGCCATCTATGAACCAGGAAGCGGGGCCGCTCCAGACGTGGAATCTGCCTGTGCCCTGCTCTCGGACTTGCAGCCTCCTGAGCTGTGAGCGAGGATGTTGGCTTTCTAAGCCACCCAGCCCAGGTGTCACAGCAGCTCAAAGTGACAATGCATGTGGCTTAGCACAACAGCCAAGTCACTTGCAATACTGTTTCTACAGAGAAATTGATTATAAGTTCCACATTGCCTACCTTAGAAATGAGTTTCTGGAACATGACCCGTTTGTAAACTGCATTCCTTTTTAAGTCAGCATGTGCATTTCCCAGTGTGTCCGGGAGATCTGAGCTGGAGTGTGAAAGCCAGGGCCTAAACCTTACCCATTACCTTTTACCAGGGTTTCCTCTATTTGACCTAACTTACTCTCAAAATGAAAAGAAAAGAAAACATTGAAAATAAATAAATAAATTTCCTTATAGTTTCGTAATGTCTTTTGCTAAGAGTATCACATACCATCCACCAAACTAGTAAATTATAATTATGTTTTCTGTCTTCACTCAGGTACTTGTCACCTTCTTCCTATTCATCAAGATAAGAACAGAATTCCTAATTCTTGCTTTCACCAGTTATCTGACATTAGGCAGGTGATTTAATTCTCTTTGCCTCAGTCTCTTCAGCTATGAAATGGGAATAATAACAGTCTTACTTCATAGTTTTTTAAATGAGGATTTAAAAAACTAAAACATATAAAGCCCTTAGAAAAATGCTTAGTACATAAGAACTATTTGATAAAGATAAGACCATATCATCATCATCACCATCATCATTGTCATTATCATCATCATCACCACTAACATGGTCATCAGTTGGTCAGAAGTAAAGCCAACAGTATAATTAGTACATTTTTTATTTGTGCTGGAAGCCTAGGTTAGTCATTCTGGCCCAGCCCAGACAGCTGACCATGGGTCCCAGCCCAGGCTCACCTTCATCCCCTCATTGTGCATGCCCTGAGGTGGGTCCCAGCCCAGGCTCACCTTCACCCCCTCATTGTGCATGCCCTGAGGTGGGTCCCAGCCCAGGCTCACCTTCACCCCCTCATTGTGCATGCCCTGAGGTGGGTCCCAGCCCAGGCTCACCTTCACCCCCTCATTGTGCATGCCCTGAGTGGGTCCCAGCCCAGGCTCACCTTCACCCCCTCATTGTGCATGCCCTGAGGTGGTCCCAGCCCAGGCTCACCTTCACCCCCTCATTGTGCATGCCCTGAGGTGGGTCCCAGCCCAGGCTCACCTTCACCCCCTCATTGTGCATGCCCTGAGTGGGTCCCAGCCCAGGCTCACCTTCACCCCCTCATTGTGCATGCCCTGAGGTGGGTCCCAGCCCAGGCTCACCTTCACCCCCTCATTGTGCATGCCCTGAGTGGGTCCCAGCCCAGGCTCACCTTCACCCCCTCATTGTGCATGCCCTGAGGTGGTCCCAGCCCAGGCTCACCTTCACCCCCTCATTGTGCATGCCCTGAGGTGGGTCCCAGCCCAGGCTCACCTTCACCCCCTCATTGTGCATGCCCTGAGGTGGGTCCCAGCCCAGGCTCACCTTCACCCCCTCATTGTGCATGCCCTGAGGTGGTCCCAGCCCAGGCTCACCTTCACCCCCTCATTGTGCATGCCCTGAGGTGGGTCCCAGCCCAGGCTCACCTTCACCCCCTCATTGTGCATGCCCTGAGGTGGGTCCCAGCCCAGGCTCACCTTCACCCCCTCATTGTGCATGCCCTGAGTGGGTCCCAGCCCAGGCTCACCTTCACCCCCTCATTGTGCATGCCCTGAGGTGGTCCCAGCCCAGGCTCACCTTCACCCCCTCATTGTGCATGCCCTGAGGTGGGTCCCAGCCCAGGCTCACCTTCACCCCCTCATTGTGCATGCCCTGAGGTGGGTCCCAGCCCAGGCTCACCTTCACCCCCTCATTGTGCATGCTCTGAGTGGGTCCCAGCCCAGGCTCACCTTCACCACCTCATTGTGCATGCCCTGCACGGCCAGGTGGAGGGGTGCCATCATGCTACTGTTTCGGAGGTTTGGGTTGGCTCCTTTGCTGAGAAGAAACTTAACACTTTCAACCTGGTTTTTTTCTGCAGCCCAGTGCAGGGGGGTGTTTCCATAATTGTCCATCACATTCAGCACTAGAAAAAGATACCAAACTATGGGTTAGGTTTTGCTTGGACAGGATTGCATGCCTACTGCATCTCTATACACTTCACAGGCCAGTGCCAGGTGCTAACGTAACAGGCTTCACCTTTGTTATGCAAGACAAAAATACAGCAGTCAGTTCTCAAGAAACGTACAGTGGCCATCTGGAGGGGATGCATTTATGACACTGACTTTGTCAAATGAGTGAGCTGTCCATCAACGGCAAAGATAAGAAACAGATCTTCCTATTGCTACATGTTTTTTATCTGTGGCATGAATCTGGGGACAGTTATAATGTATTGTGCTAATTAAAGCAATAGTTAATGCCAGGCACTCTACTAGGCTCCATTTAACCTTTATTTCATTAAACCCTCCAACAGCTCACAAGGGGTCATAACCATTTCTATAAAGATGAAGATGCTGAGCCCTAGAGGGCTGCAAAAATCTTGCCAACACACACACACACACACACATACACACACTTATTTCTTGACCATTCTGTCTGATCGAGACTGAACACTTTATTAAGAACTTCAGTCAGCACCAAACTTGGTTAAATGGACCAAAACTTAAACACTTCCATTCACTAATTAAATAACTTGAATCTGCCTTGGATCGCCACCACTTTTCAGAAATCATTTCTACAAAGATCCCGAGCTTTCCAGTGTAAGGTGTATTGTGATCTTCATCCTCCCTTGTTTGGTGTGTCATCAATCCGTTTCCCATCACTCTCTGCGTCATCCTGTCCCTGGCTTTTCTTCTTCCCTCCGACCCTTACTGTTGGTGTCTCCCCTGAGCTGCCTTTATGAGCAATTCTGTGGGCTCCGAAAGGGTTTCCATGCATTTCCACAGTTTCAGCTGCTTCGTATGCAACAGTGGCTTTGCAGGCTGGCTCCTTTCCTTCTCTATTTCAGGTTGTCGACTGGACATTTCCAAGTGGATACCCCCTGGGCCTTTCGAACTCAGTATGACCAAGCCAAAGTAGTCACCATCCCCTCACCCATCCTGCTCACTTCCCTTCTAGGCCTCCTTTTCTGGGTGGGCATACTATTAGACTCATCTCTTTAATTGGGAGTCCCAAAGTCACTTCCTGCAACTTCCTCCGTACATCCAGGCTTTTCTCAGGCACTGTTGACTCCCCCTGCCAAACAACCCTCAAATCTCTCCCTTTCTTCCTATTCCAACTGGTGGAATCTCATCTTCTCTTAAAATAGCTTTCTAATTGGCATTCCACTTCAATACCTCTTCCATGATATTGACAGAATTATCTTCCATTGTAAAGGCCTTATCATACCACCTCGCTGCTTACATCGCTGTAGCTTCCACCTTCCTTCCTTGACTACAGTTGAGTTTCTCGAAAGAGGCTGGGTGTACGAGGCTCAGGTGTGGGAGTATGTTACATCTTCTTAGAGTATCGATTTATTCAATGACAAGCAATTTAAATGTAGAATACCCTCAATGGAAACAGTATAGAAAGATACATACAATGTATATGAATTTTCATGACTTATCAGAAAAATTTGAAGAAAATCTGGGCTTGCTACGCGGTGTCCCAGATCTCTGTGCTGTCCCGGGCAGGGTTGCAGTGGGAAAATTGAGGAGCAATGGTCTATAGGAAAAATCATACTCCAAGCAAGCCAGGCAGGCCCTTTATAATCTGGAACTAATCTACTTACGAAATACCTTCACAGCACTTTTTTCAGTGAATCTAATGGAATGATAAATTAGGAGCAATCATTAGGATATTTTGTTACCTTCCCAAGAGGAGTCATTGATGATCATCTCCATCAGCTCAACTTGACCTTCTTCTGCAGCATAATGCAAAGGGGAGGCATTCATATCATCATATTTGTTTAACTTCTTTTGTCTCTTCATACAGCTTTGTAACTCATTTGCATTTCCTTCACAAAACACCTAGAGGTATATATTTTTTAAAAGTTACTTCAAACAAGCCTATGTAACATTTATTAATATAAGTTAACCATTAAAAGTGATTATCACCTCAAACTATTTATCATGTTTACAATGGGTAATTTGGGGGAGGAAACACAAAATGCTCACACACATAAAGAAAGGTCAAGCACATGCCTACACATTGATAAGTACATTAAATAACTGACTTTATTTTCAGATTATAAATGCGCACACACTATAGAAATAAAGTCCGTGAGAAAAGTTTCCGAGCAACTGTAAAGGGTGTGATCTGAAAAATAAGGTTAGTGGAACTAGAGGAATCCTTCGTGCCAGGTGAAGGTGTAAACTAGAGCACGAGGGATTCTGGTGAGAGAGAAAGATTTTCATGGATGCAAGACTTAAGTCCAGGAATCTAAACCGCTATCCTGCCTTCCTGCCTACAGTCAGTTCCTGCCTACAGTCAGTTCCTGCCCACAGTCAGTTCCTGCCCAGTGTTTCCTTTCTTTCTTTCTTTTTTTTTTTTTTTTATCCTCACCTGAGGACATTTTTCCATTTTTTGTTCAGGCAGAGTGGGAGGAAGAGAGAGAGAGAGAGAGAGAGAGAGAGAGAGAGAGAGAGAAACATGATGTGAAGGGACACATCGAGTGGCTGCCACCCGCACAACCGACCAGGGCCGGGGACAAACTGCAGCCGAGGCACGCGCCCTTAGCGGGAACCGAACCCGGGTCTCTCAGGACTGCAGGCCGACGCTCTAACCGCTGAGCCAAACCGGCCAGGGCCAGTGTTTCCTTTCTTAAACACCTGAGCTAGAGTCCGTGAGCACTGCCATGTCATCGGCGTGGTGAGGAATCCAGATGCCTTCCCACCACCCCGGGGAGTGCGCCTTCCCGTCACTGGTCCTGCAGCAGCCAAGTCAGGTCAGCTTCCCCTCCTCATTGTCTCTGAATGCGGGGAGAGCCCATCTTATTTGACTTTTCTTAGGGCCCTACAACAGGGCATCAAGAGGTTATATCACTTGCCCAAAGGGACAGTAAGAGGTAAAGTTAGAATTTGAACAGGAGACACATGGAATATATATTCTGGCCGAGTAGTAGATGCTAAAAATCACCATACACTGGAAGCTGAGGTCAAAACCACCCTCATACAATGAACGTGGTAATATATTAAGATATTATAGAGCCTAAGAATGGACTCTTTGGCTCAATACGTTCTGGTGTCATTGGCGACTGTCACTGGCCTATAACTGTGCAATTCTAACCACATGGCCATGCCCAGCGATGTCAGGGGAGGAGCAAGAGTTTTTTTGAACATCTCATTTTTTTCTAACACTTTCTTTTCTTCACACTTTTTATATTCTTTATTACGACTGGACTGCATATGATGTCTCACAGATGGTATTATGTTTGTCCTTGTGAAATTTTAAGGGGACAATGTTGACTTTCTGAGTTTGATCCATTCTCACAAGATATGAAGACAAATTCCCATTTAGGTCTTTTTCTATGACATATATAGAATTAACTTACTAAAAATAAATCTTTAAAAATCATTTTATTCAATGTTATGAATATTACTATAGCAAACACAGTTTTAAAACACCTTTCAGGTCATAAACTAGTTTCTACGAGCCTGCCTTGCATTATATATATATATGATCAAAAAGTATATTATCTTCTTCCTAAAATTAATGCATTCTTTCTTAATACATATATTAACTGACAATTTATTTTACTTGAAAATTCTTACTGTCTGTTTTATATAGAAAATTAAGAATTTTCAAAATTATTCACTGCAATCATATTTAAATATACTTCAATTGACGAGATTTTTATTCAAAGTTGCTTCTAGAATTCTCGCCTATATTTGAAAGTGAATAGTTAGGTATTATTAATTAATATGAATGACATGCCTTATTCTATTGCAAACATTTTTACATTGTTCAGAGATGATGGTATCATGGATCACACACCAGTTCAGAGACGCCAGAAATGGCATCAAATTAGTATTCTGATATTTAGTGCTAAAAGCAAGATCAAAACCAAAACTGAATGGCAGATTTTGACTCCTATTTGAGGCTGAAGCCAGTCTCAAGCACATCCCCACTCTGCACACAGTGGTCTGATCCCGAAGCCAGACTCCTCCTGCTCCGCATCCTGCAGCCCCTGCCTGCAGGCTCGACCTTCACCGGGCTTCCCCCTGCACGGTGCACCCTTCTCTCTGCCCTGTTCCCAATCCCCCTGCCTTCCCAGGGCCCTCCTAAAGCTCCCCTCCTCCTCCAGGCTTCCGTGAGGGCTGTGGGATCGCACCCTCCAGTCCAGCCTCTCCCTCGGGCTCTCGCACATGCACAGCGGAGCTTTCCAGAGGCCACAGATGTGTGGGGCCATCACAGCGCTGACAGCTACCGGAATGCGTGCGTTGTATTCTCATGCTTTTAAATGCTTCTAACATGGTAAATTTGGCAGCTATAACCTCATTTGTAATCCTTAAATTGTTTAAGTTTAAAAGGGCTCTGAGCCAAAAAAAAAGTTTGAAAAACTCTCTAGTTCTCTCCTAACACCGTCTATGCTAAATATGCACCCCACATTTGTATACTTATTTTCCATGATGCTTTCATATGTGAATAATTTTTTCAGAAAGAGAGAAGGAAGGAAGGGAGGGGGGAGGAAGGGAGGGAGGGAGGGAGGGAGGGAGGGAGGGAGGGAGGGAGGAAGGAAGGAAGGAAGGAAGGAAGGAAGGAAGGAAGGAAGGAAGGAAGGAAGACAAGAGTTCTTAAAGAGCAGCAGGAGAGGCCACGTGGACTATTAGACACACTAGAACTTCCCTGGGCTTCTTGGTGAATTTCAATTTTCTAGAGGCCTCAAAACCAATGGGAAAAATTAATGCAACCTCATTCCAGTCCTGTGACAATTCAGAGACTAAAATGTTTTCTCAGTGTTCCTTCGAGCTTTGCAAATATGTGACTGAACAATGCATTTGTTTGACTTTTTTCCAAAGCTATTTCTTAGCAAATATTTCATCACATGGACCAAAAGCAAAATATTTCACAGACAGTATCTTTTCATGGAACCCACTAAAAAAATGACTATTTTCTGAACATACAGAAACCTACCCAAATGATACAGGCATTTGCTTTATTCTACTTTGGACTGTGACTGGTCACATTTGACACATGGCAATATATGTGTCAAAATCCATGATTTATTACCTTAAAGATTACCGAAATATTTCCCACTGTTAAAATAAAAAACTATCATGAAATAAAATGAAGTCTTAAAGTATTTAATGTATTTTAATATAGTTAATAAAGAATGAGCATTTAGAGAGAACCTAAATAGACACCTCTCCAAACTGGACATACAAATGGCCAAGAGACATATGAAAAAATGCTTAACATCACTAATCATCAGAGAGATGCAAATTAAAACAACAATGAGGTATCACCTCATACCTGTCAGAATGGCTGCCATCAACAAATCATCAAACAACAAGTGCTGGTGAGGGTGCGGAGAAAAGGGGACTCTAGTGCACTGCTGGTGGGAATGCAGACTGGTGCAGCCACTATGGAAAATAATAGAGTTTTTCTTCAAAAAATTAAAAATTGAACTGCCATTTGACCCAGTGATCGCACTTCTAGGAATATAGCCTAAGAAGCCTGAAACACCAATCAGAAAGAGTATATGTACCCCTATGTTCATAGCAGCACTATTTATAATCACTAAGATATAGAAAAGCCCAAGTATCCATCAATAGGTGAATGGATAAAAAAGCGGTGGTACAAGGTACACAATTGTGGGAGACCGTTTGCATGGCATCCATCTTGTTAAAGTCTGCTCTGCTGTCTCCGGCCGGGCCGGGTCAAGTGGCGCCCAACGTGGGGCTCCAGCACGGGGGATCCAGTGAAGGACGCCGTTCGAGTGGCCGGCAAAAAGGAAAAGAAAAGAGGGAACGACGTGGGAACCTGCTGCGTCTGCACCCCTCGGGTAAGTGAACGGTGATTATGGGGCAAGCATTCATTGAGCCAAGATAAGACGTTCGTTGAAGGACTAGGAAAGGCTATAAAGGCACGAGGAGTAAAGGTGAAAAACAAGCATTTATGTCAGTATTTTGATTATGTTAAGGAAGTTTGTCCTTGGTTTCCTACAGAGGGATCTATAGATCAAAAACAGTGGAAAATAGTTGGTGACGCTCTTAGAGATTATTATAAGACTTATGGACCCGAGAAGGTCCCGGTAACTGCTTTTTCTTATTGGTATTTAATAGATGAGGTTTTATCTCAGAGACATTCTGATCCTCTCGTTGCCAATGTAGTAGAAAATGGCGAGGGTATATTACAGAAAGTAAAAAAGTGGAATGAAAATGAAAGTAAAGAATGTGAGGACTTCATGTCATTCGATAGTGATAATGAGGAAGAAGAAACCGAGCCCACTTGGAATAAAATTATGCCTAAGGGCTCTCATACGGGGAGACAAGAAAAACTGACAGAAAGAGAGGGTGGAGAAATCAAAAGAACAAAAACTAGTGTTGCCCCAGAGGAAATAATCAAATCCAAGACAAAGATTTATCCCGACCAATCAGTATATTTGGAGACTGTTCCTGACAGAGGGCAGGTTAATTGGGATGAATTGGCGGATAAAGCTGCCAGATATTGTAACTCTGATTATCCGCCTGTTTCTCAACGCCCTCCGCCTTATAATAATAATCCCAGTGCTCCCCCGCTGGCATGTCCAGTTCTTGACCCTAGAAAAGAACTTAGAGACAAAATTGAACACCTCAAAGAACAAATAAAACTGGAAAAAGAGCACCAAGATCTCATAGCCCAATTAGAAGGACTAAAAATAGGAAAATCTAAAAGGGAGAGTGAAGTAAAACCAGAAACCCTTGGGAATCAAAAACCACCCATGAGGGGAGCCGTCCCAAAGATCCCTCCCCACTTGCAACTTGCACAGGAGCTAGATGATATAGAGGCTTTTCCAGTAACAGAAACAGTGGACGCACAAGGACAG